TTAGCTAGGGTTTTACCAGTTTTGTTGATCTTTTCAGAGGACCAACTTTTGACTTGACTGATATTCTCTGTTTGTCTTTCTTTTCCATTGATTTCTGCTTTTGTCTTTTTTATTTCCTTCTACTTTGGATTTTCTTTGCCTTTTTTTTTTAATATGTTATATCATTGATTTTTAGGCCTTTGCCCTCCCAAAATAACAAGTTGTAAATTTCCCTCTAAGCACTTAAATTTTGATATGTTACGCTTTTATCTTCGTTCAGTTTAAAATATTTTCTGATTTCCTTTGCAATTTCTTCTTTGATTCATGGGTTATTTATAAGTGGTTTTTTGTTTTTTTTTTTTTAACTTCTAATGATTTCTGATTTTCCTAGATGTCTTATTGATTTTTCAGTTTAATTCTGTTATCGGAAAACATACTCTGTATTATTGCAGTTCTTTAAATTTATTGAGTCTAGTTTTATGTCGTCTGTCTTGATGAATGAACGTGTGCTTGACAAAAACGTGTAATCTACAGTCGTTGAGTAGAGTGTTATATAAATAGCAGTTAGGTCAAGGTAGTGGTAATGTATTTAGTGATACTGTGTTTAGATCTTCTGTGTCTATACTGATATTTTATGTAGTTGTTCTATCAATTGCTGAAAGGCAGAAGTTACAAATTTCTACCGTGATTGTGGACCTTTTAAGTCTGTCAATTCTTGATGCCTCAATTTTGAAGCTATTTACTAGTTCCGTTAAAGCTATGTTACATATGTATTTATTATTGTTATACCTTCCTGATGAACTGATGCTTTCATCATTATGAAATATTTAGCTTTGTTAATACTGTCCTGCAGTTTGTTTTATCTGATATTAATTTAGCTACTTCAGCCTTTTTATACTCAATGTTTACATGGTATATCTTCTGTCCATTTACTTTCAACTCCTTTGTGTCTTTCTTTTTTAAAGTATATCTCCTCGAGAGAGTAAATAGTTTTCTTTTTTTTCTGTTCTGATAATCTCTACCTTTTAATTAGAGTGTTTAGTCCAGTGACATTATATAATTATTAATAAGGTTTTATTTAGGTGTATCCTATTATCTAGTTTTTGTTTATCCCATTTGTTTTGCTTTGTTTGTTCGGTTTTTTTGCTTTCTCTTTCCCCCCTTTTCTGTTTCCTTTTGGATTCTTTGAAATTTTTGAAAATTTCCATTTTTATTTATTTATTAAATTTTTTTTTTTTTATTAGATTTTTATCTGTACCTTTTCATGTGATTTTTTTTAGGGGTTCTTCTGATTACCATGTATATCCTTAAGTTTCCATAATCTTCATAGAGTTAATATTGTGCCATATCATATAAAATATAGAAACCTCATATATATAGAAGTACATTTATATCTGCATGCATCTAGTGCAAATTTTTTAGTTTAAAATATCCATTTGGGGGGCCCCTGGGTGGCTCAGTGGGTTAAAGCCTCTGCTTTCGGCTCAGGTCATGATCCCAGGGTCCTGGGATCGAGCCCCGCATCAGGCTCTCTGCTCAGCAAGGAGCCTGCTTTCCTTCCTCTCTCTCTGCCTGCCTCTCTGCCTACCTGTGATCTCTGCCAAATAAATTTAAAAAAAAAATTTTTTTTAAATAAATAAATAAATAAAATATCCATTTGGTTCTTTTTTACACTTTCAGTCGTTCTGCTGAGGTTTCCTATTGTATACTGTTTATATGGTTCCTATTGTTTATTGTTTGTTGTTTTTTTTTACCTCGCTAAGGTTCTCACCTAATAATAGTAGAGTCTGGATCATCTCAAGGTTGGCAGATGATCTTTCCCCTTGAAAACTGATATCATTTCCAAGCTTTTTGAATATGTAGTAATTTTTAATGTATCCTGGACTTTGTAAATGTTATGTTGTGTAGACTCACTGTTTTGTTTTGTTTTGTTTTTTAACATTGCTCCTGAGTGTTGATGGTATTTCTTTAGCGATTAATCAGCCTGATTAGACACTGATTGTACACTGACATACCTGCAGCTGGCCATGCCTCAGACCTCAGTTCAATTCTCAAGCCTTGGTTGCCAGCCGCTTTGTGTTTGCTTTGCACGGGCATGGTTGATGAGTCAGCTGCAGAGTAGTGCTGAGTTTAAATATAGAATTAGGCATTTTTCTCTGGCTTTCTCCTTTCTGAGGTTCCCATCTCACTCTCTAGCAGCCCTGGTTGGACCAGGGCTCCTTTCCATTGTTCCTTTAGCCTGAAAGGCTGCTGGATTTGTTTTGTTTTGTTTTTCTCTCAGAGTTTTAGCCACCCTGCCTTGCCACCACCATGACTGTAGGCGCTCTTAGAACAAAGTCACAGAAAACGGAGAACTCACTTCTGTGGCTTGCTCCAGATTCCCACGGCCCTCTAAAACTGCCTGCTTTTCCCCCCATCTCTGAGCCCTCCAGTATGTTGTTTATTTGTCCTCTTTGTAGGAGGGTCTGTAGTTAGGTATCACTCCTTCATATAGAGTAGAAAACTTGCCCCTCTTTCTTGAAATCTTGTCGATTTATTTCTACCGTACTCTAAGGTCTCTTCCTTCTTCTCTGCTGCCAGTGGGGAAAGTGTAACCAAAAGCTCATTGGAGTCACATGCACCTCGGAAATCCCAGTCCTTCTGCTTGTTCACTTAAGGACAGTGTTTTTCCCTTCACTTTAGTCTCCCCATCTATAAATTATGTTAGATTCCCCACCTGTAAGTTAGAGATTTTAATATTTTTAGAGGAAGGAGTAATTGAATTTTAAGAGGAATTACAATATCTGAGGCACATAGCACAGTACCCGGCACATAATATATACTAAATAAAAATCTTACCCCTCTTACTCCTCAAGGGCTTCTCCTCTTCTGAATGACTTCAAAACGGCATTTAGCCTTACTCTACAAACCAGCCTCTGGATCTCATTGACTCTTTCAGCTTCAACTTCCCTCTTAAAAGCCAAAGACTACCAAATCTAGTCAAAATGTGTCAAAAACTACAAATATAAATATTTCAGTATTTCCTGGATAGCCCATATGGATTTCCCATGTGCCCTCCAAGAAATTCATGTCCAGATCTGAACTCATCATTTTCTCTCTGCATCTCCAAATCAACCTGCTTCTCCTGCATTTAGACATCCAATAAATAATATCACCAGATCATGAAAGAAAAAAATCTAGGTGTACTCTTAAATCTCTCTGCTCCATATTTCTCAAATGTAACTACCCAGTCCTGCCATTCTCCTTTTATACTATCTCCAGCCTGTCTCCTCATATCTGTTCCTACTGCCTCTGATTTGGTTTGGGCTATCACCATTTTGCTTCGATGCTACTACTGCCTTTGGTCTATTTACCCGATCTACCATACAACATAATGTTTCCCAAATTCAAATCTTTAACCATATTTTTTCTTTGCTCAAAACCCATCATTGGTTTCCCATTTCCTTCAGGGTAAATTCCTAACTCCTAGCAGCCTACACAGAGTACATCTGCTGTTCCTCCCTTCCCCATGGGCAGGCACCTCACACACTGTCTGGGTGCAAAGCTTTGCAGTCAAAGACATCAACTTTCCCAGGCCACTGGGCACCCATCTTTCCTCACTTGGTGCTTACTACTTGTCCTTTGAAAGTCAATTTAGACAGTGCCTTTCATTTTCCAGATCATCTCAGTGTAGGGGAGGTTTCTCCCACGATCCCATAGCACCCTATACAGCTTTGATGGGACTATAAGTTGTTCTCTGCTGTCACTAGACTGTGAACTCCCTGAGGGCAGACTCTGTGCTGTTGCTCAGGCGTTGCTCACTCGTTCTCACTCTCTCCTTGCCTCCCTCTCCGTCCCCACAGACAGTATGCATACTTTTATCAGAGACTAAGGGCTACAGATGACACTTAGGAATTTAATGAATAAGGGTCTATTTTAACGTTTTCTGATTGATTTCTAGCATTCATATGAGGCAAAAGCCATCCATCTCCATTGTATATAATCATCATTGAAATATATATATTTGAATTTTAGATTTTAAGTGTATACTTAGTCCCAGTCAGTATTTTCCCACTAAAAACCTGTAACTAAGGCCAAGGGGTCTTCGTAACCTAACCAGTGATCATACCTCACTGTCAAACAGTTCTCAGCCTTGGTACTGTTGACATTTTAGGCTGTGTAGTTCTTTGTTGTGGGAGATTGTCCCATGCATTGTCGGTTTCATAGTGGCATCCCTGTGCTAGATCCACTAGAGGCCAGTAGCAAATGCCCATGCCAGAGGCCCTAGTACTGGGCGTTTGTGACAAAAATTGGGAAGGGAAGATGGCGCCAAGTACCAAAAGTATTCCTACTGAATAGGAACTTAATCCATGAAATGCCTCACTCTTCTGCCCTGTAAGAACCACCAGCATATTTATTACATTCTCTCTGGTTACAACCATACGATGTTGTTCCAGTTTTGAAGAATGACTTTTGGTCTCCCCTCACCCTTTTCAGAAACCACAAAATGTGTTCATTTGATCTTTGTACATAGTACTGCTCCTCGCTCCTCCTTCCTCCAGGAGCTCATTTGACCATGAAACTTCCTGAAAATTTGAGAGGAGTGGGGGAGTTGGAATTTGCAGAGCCATGTTCCACATATTGTCGGCTTTAAAGATCACTCCCAGCAGCAGTTGGGAGAGGAACAGGCTTCTGTTGAGCTTATTACGTTCAAACACTGTATATAGTTGGGATTTGATATAAAAACTTCTAGTCAGAATGCTTCTTCCAGGGGCGCCTGGGTGGCTCAGTGGGTTAAAGCCTCTGCCTTCCTCTCAGGTCATGATCCCAGGGTCCTGGGATTGAGCCCTGCATTGGGCTCCCTGCTCAGCAGGGAGCCTGCTTCTTTTCCTTTCTCTCTGCCTGCCTTTCTGCCTATTTGTGATCTCTGTCTGTCAAATAAATAAATAAAATCTTAAAAAAAAAAAAAAAGGCTGCTTCTCCCATCTTGGATTTCTTTGTGTTGGTCTTTAATTTTGCCTGCCCTTCCTTTTTCTTTTTAGACAATCCATGCTCTTATGGGAAGCGCTCTGCAGCCCTTACTGACTTCAGTGGGAGATGCCATAGAGGCCATAATCATCACCATGCATCAAGAAGATTTTTCTGGGTAAGCACTTTGAACCACAGTCTTCACTAGCCTTTGCCACATTTGTTTTTCTCTCACGCACCTCCGCCCTTCCTCCCTGTTTCCGTGTAGGCCTTGTTCCTCTTATGACTGGTTTGGCCTCCAACCTCATACTACTTTATCCATTGTGAGCACCATTAGCTGATTAAAAATTTTCAGTTCTTGCTTTCATCCTTTCTCTCCTGTCATTGAAACAGAATCATTAACATTTGCAGGACTCAGCTTGGCACTGCAGGATTTCTGGTCGCCGGTACCATCTTCTCTTTTCAAGCTGATCCTGATCCTTCTTTCTCACAAATGCCCTGTACTTAAGCTTCTGGTGTAGGCATGTTATTTCTTACATAAAATGTCCCAGCTGTGCCACAATGCTAGTCTGAATCCTGCTCTGGCCTTGAAGGCACGCTGCATCCAGCCCCCTGCAAGAATGACTTTCATTTCTCAGAGTCTTATAGCAGTCTGATCTGGTCGTGTCGCACCTGGCCTAATCAGTGCTTCGGGACCATCCCACAGCTGTTTACAGGAGTACCGCTTACCTGTATCCTATGTATCTTGAGAATAAAATTCATAGGTTTTAACCCAATATTCACTGAAATGTTTTTAAGGAGAGGAAAATGGTTTGAACTCCCTGTATTAGGACATTATTTGCAGAGAATTTGGAATAGTTATTTGCACATGCTTAGAGTGATTTTTCTTAACCACACTCTAGAGCTAAACATTCAAATACTAATGTGTAGATATGTGTTTTATCTTCCTAATTCATAGTTACTGTTTTTGAATTTTCCTCTTTGTATTTCTTTTCGTGTTGTTTAAATATCTATGTTATTAAATGTCCAGCCACTGGTCTAGCTGTTGGTAGAAAATTGTGTGAATTTTACACTGTCCTTTAATTTTTCAAATCCCTTATCTCATTCACAAAATATCTTTTGAAGGGTAAAAAGTTATCCCTCTTTTTAATAGTGGAATGAAGCACAGAGGGTCAAGTGTATTATACACAAAATGCAGTAATATTTGGAGCTAGGAATACAAAGCTGCTGACTTAGCAGTATTTGGAAGGAAATGCATTTTGTTCAGAAGTGGTCTGAAATGTCCCAGTTGGACCAATTCTCGATGCCTGTGAGAAGGAAGCAGAAAGTGAAGGCTCATTCTGTAAGAGCGCTCAACTATTTACCTCAGCTTCTGTGTACTTTGGGGAACCGTGGCTACTGCCGTAGCCAGTGGACTGGACATTAAAAGTTGGTCTCCCTAGTAGGTATGTCCTTATTAGTTTGCTTAAATACTAGGGAGCCGGATAACCAGTCATATGTTGCCACAAGTAGGAAGCATTATTTTAAAGTGTGTAACACTGCCCTTAATTTTTCCCCCAAGTGGCTTTTAATGGTCCCATTTCCGCTGTCTACATATGGCAGACATTTGAGATATTTGGAATTATTGCCCCAGGGCAGTAATTTTCTCACTTTCTAGAACTTTGATACTAGTAATTACTAGGAATTCTGTCATTTCATTTCCCATGTCAAATGTGTGGCTTGAATGAAATAAAAGGTGAAGTTAGATGAAACTAGTCAAGAAGTAGGAATCACTTTTATAGTAGGGCCAGGGGTCACACTCAGAAAAATAGTAGTGAACAGCTGCCCTTGAAAGCCCTCTATATTCATTCTAGGTAAAAGGAACAAAGCAGATTTACCTTGTCAGCCGGCCATATATGTAGTGTGGTTACAGAATCCCTCTGCTACTTAAAAAGTAATGCCCAACACAGTCTCCTGGTATATGAAATGTATTTAATTTGTGTTTCTCTCCAAATTAGAGAAAGCTCAAAATGTAAATGTCTGATGGACGTAGTACATTGATTGAAATTCTTTCATTTAATGTAAAATGACTCCTCTCTGATTATAGCTTTGAATGGGGGAGGAAGGGCAGTAAAAGTAGGAAGACCCTAGATCCTGAAGTGATGGATGCGCCCCTCGGCCGCAGGGAGAGTTGCGCGCACGCCCCAAAAAGATAGGGGACCTGAAGGTGATCGTCTGTCACTTCTCAGGTGTGCATCTGGTTAGTCCCTCTGCCTTCAGCTTGCACACACAGGCTTTCTTGATAAAGACCCTTACATTTCTGCACAGCTTACTGTTGCACTCGATCAGCTGAAAATCTCTTTCTAAAAGCTTCAGCATAATTGGGAAAACTGTGCTGTAGCCATGGCCAGGCACGTTTCATTTGCTAATAAATTTAAATCAAGTTTCTAATCCATACTAAGAATTGATAATACCTATTTCCAAATTTTGTCTGGTGGATTATTTTACTTATATTGCCATGTGCTTGGAACTGGTTTTATTTATTTATTTTTTAAGGTTTTATTTATTTATTTGACACAGGTCACAAGCAGGCAGAGAGGCAGGTGGGGGGCGGGGGGAGCAGTCTCCCTGCTGAGCAGAGAGCCTGATGGGGGCTCAATCCCAGGACCCTGCATGACCTTAGCCGAAGGCAGAGGCTTAACCCATTGAGTCACCCAGGCACCCCTGGAACTGGTTTTAATATATTTTTTTCTAATCCTCATGGAAATCATTTCAACTGACCAGATAAGAATCCTTGAAATACTCCTCTGGAGTAGCTCAAGGTAACAGCAGTGCTTTCAGTAAAGCCTAAGAAAACATGAAAGAGATTGGTACTTTTTTTCCCCGCCAACCTAGTCTGTTGAACTGAACAAAGATAGGCTGTGCAATGGTCTGAATCTGGCACGGCCAAACCCACCTAAAATTGCCGTCATCGGCTGAGGCTGTACCAAGCAGCACTCGGCTGTGATACTGCAGGCAGCAGTGGTCCGTCATGCTCCCCCTCCATGGCCTTGCCTTAGTTAGGACATTCTCTTCTACACCTGAACAAACTCTCTCCCTTCTGGAACTTAGGACTGGTTTCTCTATTTCTATCTGCTTCTGGAAATAGAAGACCTTTGGTTAACATCCTCTGATAATAAGCACTCATTGCTGTCTTTGAAAATAATTAAGTTTGCCTCATTCTCTTGCTCTAGGCATTTGAGTCATATCTGTTATTCTTCTTTAGACCATTGCCACTTTTTCTACGTCATTCTCAGAATATGGAAACACTCATTTTTTTGAAGACGATTCAGCACTTTGTAGCCAGTGATCTCATTGGTTAGCTAATTAATATCAGGTGATTTCTAATTTTGGTATAACTTCTTTCCTATAAATATTTCACATTCTTTTAATATATTCCTTAAAGAGCAATTATAAACACTTATAAATTATAAATAGTATTTCATGGAGCATCAGCTGGCATCATCTGTTGATCCAAATTAAAGCCTTTGCAAACCTCATCATCTGGGAGGAAAAAATTGCATACCATGTGTATTGTTGCATAACCAGTCCCACAGGCAGAAATCTACTATTGGGCTGATCAGATTAAATAGCACAGGAGCAGAAATATCTTTGCCAAGAATTTGTTTTGGGGAAGGCAGTGTTTTCTGCCCTTACAAAGTGTAAAATGCTATTTCAGTCTTCATTATTGATTTATTCACTAACCAGGCAAAACATATGAGTGCATAGAGATTCGTAAAGCTGAGAAGGACTTTGAGAGGTCAGAGAGTGCATAAGGCACTGTGTGAATCACCCGAGACAGATGGTTGGCCATTTCATTCTTAATAATCTCTAGGTAAAGGGATGCTAAGATTTCTTCAGTAATCTTCCTAGCAACTTAAAACAGTCTTTATAATTTAAACATTGTTTTATGCTCCTTAATTCTTAGTAAAAATAAGCAATACCTTTTTAACCACTACGGGAAAAAATGGTTTGGGATTGAAATAGCAGGTGGGGGCCGTGGTGGGCAAAAGTTGAATGGTGGCTGTTAGTACATCAGCTGTTTTTTCCCTTTCGCAGGTCACTATCCAGCTCGGGAAAGCCTGATGTTCCTTGTTCTCTGTACATGAAGGAGCTTCAGGGTTTCATTGCCAGAGTTATGAGTGACTACTTTAAACACTTTGAATGCTTGGATTTTGTCTTTGACAACACAGAAGCTATTGCCCAAAGAGCAATTGAACTTTTTATTCGCAATGCCAGTCTCATACGACCTCTTGGTGAAGGTGGGAAAGTACGACTTGCTGCTGATTTTGCTCAGGTAAATGGAGATGCATAGCTACAAGGGGGGGAAACGTTTCCACCCCCGCATTATCTAGTCATTGAAAGACTAAGTATATATTCTTTAGTGTTTTAAAGAGTTGAAGCAGAAAGAAAAATAAATTCATTTAAACTAAATTGGTAAGAAAAAGGGAAGAGTTTAAAGAGACTTTCATACCAGATTTTTCCTCTTTGTATTTAATGAGTGAATCATCCCTCATCTTTGAGATTTCAAGGTTAAGGTGAAGTAGCTCATTCCATAGGACAAAACATATCTCACTTCTACATAATGTAGGGCTTTCTTACTATTTTATTATCCCATGGGGTTAGTATTGAGAAGAGTAATTGATTAATTTTGCTGGGAATTAATATAGGCAATGACATTTCCTTCAAATACTGTAAAGGGGCTATCTGTTTTCATGTGAAGAGAAAGAACTCCCAGCACATCTGGAATTCCCTAGAGGCCAGCTCAGTGTTCCAAGACAATGTTCGAATCCATTTGTATGCAGTGGGCCATGTACATAGCGGGCTGATTGGTCTCCCTCTGTTGAACAGAGTACCTTTCTGGTCTTTGGCCGCCCTTGAAATCATTCCAGGCTCTCAAACCATGGTCACCTCTTATAGAACAGGGGTTTTCCTTTCTTCCTTTAGACAGACTTTTTTGAAGGCTTCCAGTAGTATTAGAGGCAAAGAAGAAACACCTCAAACATACCCGTGAATAAAAAGGTGCCAAAACAGGTCACTCGTATTTATGTAGCATGTCAAAGATGGACTCATTTTTTATGCTTTTCAGAACTGTTAACATTACTTATCTACAGGAGTTATTCAGATGGATTATTCATAATTTGCCAGATCTCCCAGCTAATAAAGATAGTTATATTTAATGTTCTTATTTATCCCTGTGTGTATCTGGGAGCGAGTCTGGATTCATTATTCCCACACCAAGGAGCAGATGTGGGAGACTCCTTGTACGGGCGGTGGTTGTCAGACTCATACCTGTCCAGAAGGAACAGGTACATTGTTGAGTGTTTCAAAAGCTGGGCTCTTTGCATACTAATTGGTCTAGAATTAGTCATTTTCATCCTCAAATGATATGCCTGCCACTAGACCATAGTAAAGAGCCTTCCTTTGGGACATATACCTTAGGTAGCCTAGACCTAAAAATAGGAATTAAATGTTACCATTAATGTTGCTCCTTTGATCTTTCCCATTTTCAGAAGCTTCCTTCTCATGCCCGTGTACACTTCGCATTAATGCTGCAGGTAAACCTCAGCTTAAAGAGGACTGTCTGTAAGTCCCCTACTGGGGTCACGGGCTGCTCAGGGACTGAAAACACCAGGACGCACCAAGTCCTGCTCTTGTTTGTTAAAAACACTGTGGGCTCTACTGAAAGGAGCGTCTATTCTCTTGTCTCCCCCTTTCCTCCTGAATTCTGTTTTTCTTTTCCTCTCCTCTTCCCTCAGCGGGCCTCCCTCCCCCACCAGTTGATTTGCATTCCGCTCCAGCTGGTTCTTGAGTCACTTTCCTGGAGGCAGCACTTCCAGTCCGAGGAGAGTGGCAGTGAGCGGGAGATGGCCAAAATGAGTGCCGGCGCCGCGCCAGGCAGCCTGTTTGGCCCGAGTTTTCTCTTAATGATCTGTTCCCTTCTGAGTCCTGAAGGATGGAAGGCATTGTCCTGTAACCCTTGCTCCTGCAGCCGGCACCTGCTCAAAATGCAAAGCCCCTGGTGGCACGTTGAGCTCCCACCCCCCACAAACCGCATTATTCAGACTTTGACCGGGTGCCTCTTCTCTCTAGTGTTGCGCAACCCACCGGCCCTTTTCTCAGGTCCCTTCCGGTAAGATAAATGAAACTCATTCATCCTTATGACTAACGTAAGCTACAGGGCATCCTGTTTTCCATTCCTTCAATAGAGAGACTGCAGCATTTATTCAGTGTGAAGCCCCCCTCCGTGACACGGGTCACTGCACTGAGTGTGGTGCTGATTCCTTTGTTCCCTCCCGGACAGTGTGTCCCAGTTTTCAGAGCACCCTGCTCAGCCCCTCACCTTGCGGATGGTTCCCCACCTGGCAGCTTGCGGACACAGGAGATACAGGCGGAAGCGCCGTCACGTTTGTGACCAGTGGCTTTGGTAAACAGGATCCACCTACGCCGGCCCCCCACCATTTTTAAGAAAATGACAGTGAATTGGGGGTTTTGCTTAATTTGATGTGGTCTCTTGCCACCTCTGCTGTCCCGTGATGCTACCCCTCAGCTTTCAGGACCGTGCTCGGTTGGGTGTATTTTCCCCCGGGTGAGTCAAAACCCGTAGGTATGATCCCAACGTTGTTCGGCAGCACCTGGGGACTAGAAAGCCATTTGACTGCCTCCTTATTGAAAGTTCTATCAGTTTGTATTCAAAATGAAACACAGCCATGAGGCCATTGGAATCAAGAACACACAAATCCTCTCTGGGTTTTAAGTGTTCTTGTGATAAAAGTGCCTACTCATTCTGGCATAAATAGCAGAAAGAGAAAGAGCTCAGGAAGAGACCCGTGGCGTAGGCTTAGGATTGCTGAATAGTTTGTCATTCCGTCCGGTTGCAAAGACAGACAATGATAGAGTTTAAAGGTTTCTTTAGGAATCCTATCTTGTCCCTCCTGGCACTGTTGCACAGGTGAGGGGGAGAAAGTAGTTGCCAGGTGCCATCTGGAGGGTTCGTGGCAAGGGAAGTACCTGACATACAGTCTCCTTAGGAATCAGGTCATGGGCATGAGGTGGTTTCCTACAGGTAATTAATTTCCTACTGTGACCACATGCTCTCTGTGTCTGCGCTCATCACACAGCAATTCTAAAACACTCCGCTTGCTCAAGGCCACTGGGGTCTACTGACAGCCTCTGGGGGGGATTTGTCCCTCCCTTCCCCCACCCCCGCCCTCTGAAGCACCCACTTCCCTCCGCCCCTCAATTTCATTTCTTCCCTGAGGGAAAGGATGGCTCGTGGAGCTGACATGAAATACTGATTCAGTGGTCCTCCTAGCAGTTTCTATTTATAGGTCTTCTGGCGCCCTTTAAATATACATATATATGTATTTCATATTTGCCTGAATATATACATTTAGAAAAGAAAATAATGAAGATTTTCATTGCAGTTGCCTTTTCTCCTGAACAGTGTCAGGGCGGGAGAGCCGTGGGAGTATCAAGAGATGCCCCGTGGTTAACCAAATGTCTGCGGTGGGGCAGGAACCACTTGGTAATTAGTTCACCGCACCTGCAGCTGACCGCTCGCTCCCTGCAAACCGGCAGCAGGAGAGAGGCCCTTGTACCTGCCACTCATGTGTCCACAGCTAATTGCAGAGTCACCTCCTCTAAAAGAAACACTCCTGCCCTTTGGAAACATGGCCTTTATTGTTTCATGGAAGTCTGGCAGAAGAAAATGCTTTGCAGGACGCTGGGGGTCCTTTATTTATTTTAAACATCTAACATTTTGAAATTGTAGTCTGGCATAGAAATCTGTACCATCATAGATTATACAGCTGTTCAAGGTCATATTCTCTCATATCGTAACTTTGTAACATTCTGTGCTGCTCAGATGCTAAGGCAAAGGTTTTTTGGTTTAATCTTAGAAGATGGTGAATTGAAAAAAAAGTCAAAAGTATTTCATGAAAAACATTTTTGTGTAATTTAGTGTGTAAAAACCGTAACACATACACATACACACGTATATGATTGGAATTACCAAATCAGGAATACATGATAATAACATTTTTACTTTGCATTCAGTGTAAAATCATGCCACACGCTCAGGGAAACCAGCAGCTCCATCAAGTGAAGAAGCTAACAGGTCCCAAGGAACCACTGTCTTGATTTGAGAACACTGGCTTGAAGCGGCTCTGTTTTGCTTTATTGGCAAGAATCTAGACTTTATTGCCTCAGATTTTTCTTTTTATTTACTTAACCTTCTCTATTTTAGAGAATTTTCTAACCGTGTTAAGGTTTTCCTCTAGGACACAGAAGACATACTCTCTGCTGCCCAGGCACCCCCACACCTGATTATTATTACGCAGAATTACAAGTGTGCTGTCAAGTGCGGGGGTGGGGGGTGGGGTGGGGTGGGGGGATCTGGTGGGCAGCTTCCTTGAGAAGGTCTTGAGGGTAACTGGTGAACTCATGGATGGCTCAGTGTCTGCCTTCCGCTCAGGTCGTGATCCTCGGAGTCCTGCTTCCTGCTCAGCGGGGAGTCTGCTGCTTTCTGTCCTTCCTGCTCATGCTCTCTCTCACTATCTCTCTCTCTCTCACAAATAAAATCTTTAAAAATAATAATAATCCAGGTGTGTGTATATATATGTGTATATATGTATCTGTGTGTGTATAGACACACCTTATTGTGATTTTTTAAAATATTTATTAGAGAGAGAGAGAAAGCACACAAGCAGGGGAGAGGGCAGAGGGAGAGGTAGGCTCCCTACTGAGCAAGAGCCCCATGTGGGACTCGATCCCAGGACCCTGAGATCGTGACCTGAAAAGAAGACAGACGCTTAATGACTGAGCCACCCAGGCGTCCCCCTTTTTGTGATTTTGTTCAATAATAATGTTGTTTAAATAAATAGCCCCTTTTTCACTAAATTTGAAAGAGCTTCCTAAAGGTTGACTAATTTATCTTCTCATCACCATGTGTAATGTGGTGCCTGGCAACTAATAGGGAGTCAGAAATGTTCATCACATGAGTGATTGTTTAGGTCTCCTCGGATTTGCAGGGGCAGGAGATCTGAGCAGTATTTTAGAGGGATAACCAACAGGACAGAAGCCCCACTCTCCACTACTTTTTTCAGACATTTTCTAAGCTGCTTTCTACCAGGGCCCTGTCGACAGCAAGAACAGAGAAATGGTTTGGCATCTGAGTTCCAGGTCTGTGAAAACTTTGCACTTGCTAGATAAGGAACAGAGAGCCTAAAACTCCATTTAATGACAAGTAGAATTTCCAGCCAAAGAAGGAAAATAAAGAGCAGTGAAACCAACAGTTCTTGAGTCAAGAAGCAAATTAATTTGCTAATAATGTAAAAGGGGGAAGGTTTAAAAAATACTGTTAATAATTTTCAACATGGAACAAGCAGTTGCGAGGTGCCATGCACATACTGGTTTGTGAAATCACCTGTTTGGTTTTTGTAATTCCATGAGCTAGCGTTGTCTCCGTTTGACAGACGAGGAGCCTGGAACTTAGGGAAGTGAAGTCCAGGGCCACACAACTAGTCACTGTAGACTTGGCGTTGTGACAGGTGTGCTGCCTCCAGAGTCCATGCTTCTTATCACTTGGACTAGCTTGCTAAGAGTTGTCATGATTTCTACTTAATATAAAGAGGCTTGTGATGCCTACTTCAAATACAGGTGCACAGTCTTAAAAACCTTCCCTTCTCCAGTTTTTCAGTGGAGAAAATATCTGAATTTCCTCGTTTCACATAACCAAAGAACATTTTTCTGTATTCTTGAAGGAATAGTCTCATGTTATGCTCCTTTAGTAAATAAAAGCAAAAGTCATCTAAGTTCATGCCTTTTGTTAAATTTAGTTGACTTTTAAAACTTGCTGCACAGTCCAGATGAAATTAGGTGTACGGCAGGCTGCAACTTTCTGTGAGCCAGATGTGAGCCCAGTTGGACACAGGATTCTCGCATTAACGCTGTGGAGTATCTTCTCTTGTTTCAGATGGAGTTGGCTGTGGGTCCTTTCTGCAGAAGAGTTTCTGATTTAGGAAAGTCCTATCGAATGCTGAGGTCATTCAGGTGAGACGTAGTTCTGTTATTGCTGTTGATATATCCATATCCTGTTAGCCGTCAAATCCTTCCCCACTGTTCATGTTGAGCTCTATGAAATTGCCGATATTCAGCTGTTTTGTGACCTACAACAATAGCTATTGCACATGATTTATCCTAAAAGTTATTATTCAAACCAGAAACCCTACAGAATTATGTGCAGTGATGTGTGTGTGTGTGTGCGTGTGTGCATGATTTTTGAGTTAAAATTCACAAGACTGAGCTGATAAATTTTATTATGCTCTTTCTAGGGGGGATTTTTTTTAACTCTCCATTCTTACCAAAATATATTGAGTAGTAATACCCGCAGTTCGTAATTATGTAGACATCTTTTTTCTGAAATTTTCATTTGTTCATTTATCATTTTTATTCTAACCTACCTCTAAAAATGTCAGAGGTTGGGCACCTGGGTGGCTTAGTTGGTTAAGCATCTGCCTTCAGCTTATGTCACGATCCCAGGGTCTTGGGACTGAGTCTTTCATGGCTTCGGGCTTCCTGCTCAGCAGGGAGTCTGCTTCTCCCTCTCACTCTGCCCCTGCTTGTGTGCTCTCTCTCACTTATTCTCCCTCTCTCTCAAATAAATAAATCTTTAAAAAAATTTTTTTAATAAAAATAAAAATGTCAGAGTTACATTCCATAGCAAAACTGTTATTAGAATCTTAAGAGAATTGAGTTTAGCAGTGAAATGTAGGGAATGACTAGAAATGGTGCAGATAATTTAGGATCAAGTTGGCTAATGCAGTAGAGCACAAAATTGAGGATTGAACTTCCTAGAGACCAGTTCAAAGAGAAAAACAGTATGTTAATTCAAATTCACTAAGAATATACCGGTGTATGGGAAAATCCTTTTCAGCACTGAATGCTTAGATAGGCCTCCTACCAGTTTAGATTGTAAGGAACACTGAATAACTTAACAACTGTTTGGGCTGTTTATTCACTAAACCGGAACTTTCCAAATTTTGCCCCATTGTGGCGCACAGAGAATGTTATACATACGAAAAGATGACCAACCCTGAGGGCCGAGGGAACCAAACATGATACTTAAACCCATTTTGTGACCACAGCATACCAGATGGGAAACCTTGATGTAACTATCCATCATATCCAAGAGCATAATGGTCTTTGACTGTTTCTTTATAAAGATAAGGTAAGAGATTCCAGGCATGCAGTTTCCTAAAAACTGACTCAGAACTAGAAACTAGAGCAAACTAGAGCATGTCCTTTAAATGACTGCTTCACTGTCTTATGTAATCCAAGCTTTCGATAGTACAAAAATCAGGTGTAATGTCACTTCAAACACAAGAATCCAAGGTTGTTGATTGAAAGGGGAGCCCCGTGCTTTGTCCTGCGTATTTGTAATTGGCAAAGAGTTCTTTTTAAGGCCAAAACAAGAGACTGAATCATTTTTCTCAAATGCCCATCTATACAGAGTTGGGTTTTTAAAAAGACTTAAAGTTGGACCATATGTGTTTCCAGATAATATCTTTGGATCAGCTCAGACCTTTTAAAAAGTATTTATGTATTTTATTGAAGCATTAGGGTTTGGCATTACCAAACATGGACAGGCTGAGTGATTAGAAGGTCCTGAGGTCACTGATCCACCAGTTCCCTGCCTGTACCATGAAAATAACCCCAATAAGACTCCCGTAAAGTTACTTACTGAGTAATATGATAACCTAGCAATCCCTGTTAGGTGGCAAATCGATGCTGAGTTAACAGAATCAGCCGGTGCACTGGAGGTAATTAACCAACCAGCTCTTGAAAAGGGTGTGGGAAAGCTGTGATTTGGGATTTGCCGTATTAAGATTAGGCTATTATTTTTTATAGCCCCAGCTGCCATGTTTCATTGTTTATTGCACGTGTATGAATTAAAATGGTGCTTACCCTTCAATGTGCTTTCATCCCTGTGCTTTTAAAGTCATATCACGGCGTGGGAGACAGGTTCTGACAGTTTTGCGCGAGACCAGTTCTGTTGTCAGTCACGTGAGGGTAGTCTGTCGCCAGCCCCTGTGGGCCTCTCAGGAGAACCCTCTCTGACGGAGCGGTTGAAGTTCCAGTGGTGACACCTTCTAGTACCTGTGCCTGGATTCAGAAATTAATGAGCGATCAATGTGTAATTCAGAACACTCATGCTGTAGGTAGCCATTCACGAGTTATATTGCTGGTCAGTGTCTAAAATTGGGAAAATAAATTCGTAATGTAGTAGATACGATATGATCCCTACTATTTCTTTTATTTTTTAAATTTTTTTTTAGAGATTTTATATGCTTATTTGAGAGAGAGAGAGAGAGAGAGAGAGCACGAGAGGGAGGAAGGGTCCAAGGGAGAGGCAGACTCCCTGCTGATCAGGGAGCCGGATGCCATGAAGGACTCCAGGATCATGACCTGAGCCGAAGGCAGTCACTTAACCAACCAACGGAGCCACCCAGGAGCCCTGATCCCTCCTATTTTTAAGTCAATAACTGTATGTTGTAGAGGAAAAGTCAAGAAGGATAAACATCAAAATTTGAGGATAGCAGGATTGTCACTAGCAGGTCTATATTTTCCATGGTTTTTGCCTTGGTTGTTTTATATTTGCAGTTAGAAAAGCCAGTAAATATATTTTAAATTCCTCTTGTAGTGTTATTCCTATTTAAAAATAACAAGGAAGTTAAAAAATAATACAAAATATTCTAAAACATTATGTAATGGGGGGGGTGAGAAAAATAGGCAGGCAAACCACCAAAACCCAGCTGGCTGGCCTGTGTCTGGCTAAGAGGCAGTGGCTGCAGGGGGGAGGGCAGCAGGCTGGTGCAGGGGCCTCTTTGTGAGGGACAGGGACAGCGCCAGTCAGAGACCCTCCAGTCCAGACCGCAGGTGCGGCACCCCCCGCCCCCACCAGACACCCAGCCACACGGGCCTTCGAGGCGCTCCTTCCCCCCATCACACAGCCATCTGCTGCAGGGTGCCTGCTTCTTGACGGTAATACTAGTGGACTGTTGAATTCGGCCAGCAAGCTTCTTGCGTACATTTACATTCTACTGTCTCCATTAGAGTTTCTTAGGCAGTGGGAATTGTTTTCTTCCCCGGGACAGAGTGTGGCCTCAGAAAGCCGCTGACATTAGGGATTTGCCCTTGGGTGATCTGTATTTCTACATGAGACACAGGTTCAGAGCTGCAAGGCCCCATCCTTGTCTGTCCCTCTGGAGCATGGCCTTGTCCCCTAAGTGGGGTTTGCAAGGGTGGTTACCCTAGCTCTGCCTGGCTAGAGGCCTGGAAGCTCCGACTTGACATTCTCAGTGCAGTTGCTTGTGAGACAAGGGACAGAAGAGGGACCTCATGCTCTCACCAGTGCAGGGACACAGACCTGCCTTCGCGCAGGCCCCAACGCCTTTGCTCCGGAGGGCACAGCTTTGTCCCTGAACGGTGCCCACAGCATGCTCTACTGGGAGCTTTGTGAGGTTTGATTAAAGCCATCAGGGGACAGGGGCTGCTCTGGGGGGCCCTTTGGCCTGAGGGGTGGTAGAAGGGAAGCTGCAGTAACCCTGGTGTTTAGAATTCGTGTCTGCTGGTTTTAACTGTGGGCGTGGGAGGGTTTTCCGTGTCCCCAGGGGGCGCCGCCTGCCATGCCGCCGCTCCACCAGCATGTTTGTGGAAGGAAGGGCAGCCATCTCTGCCGCTTCCAGCTCGAGCATCAGGACCCCCAACTGTATGCCCGCCTTTCTTTGTACTTGTGAGTCCATCCCCGGAAACAGCTCTTTCCCCAAGGTTTCTGGGTTCTCTGTTCCCAGTTGCAGACTTCAGCATTGCAGCCAGACGGCAGCCCCGTCTTGGGCCTGGTTTCGTTTGTTGTTTGCTGATACTCGGGCAGAGCTAGGAGCACCTGGCAAACAGGGAGGGCTGGGTAGTTAGCTGAGCCTCACCTTCATTCCAGCAGTCCTTCTTGGATCATTCACGGGGTGCTTAGCCTGTGCTAGGGGTTTCCCTGACACTTTATGGTTTCGTCTTCTCCACCACACTTCCGAGGCAAGAGTGACCCAGAAGACACTGGTCCTGAGAGGGGCCACTTGACAGGGCTGCGTGTCTGAACGTCATGTGGGAGTTCCAGAACTGCCTTCCAGACCCAGGGCTGCCTGATCCCATGGCTTGTGCTTGTAACCACTGCAACCAGAGCTTATTCCAGAAGTTCCCATTTGTTTTCACCCTGGTTCTAGAATAGCACCTAGAGCTTATCTGAGCCATCCAGGAGAATGTCAGTGTGAAGAGAATCTGGGACCCCACCGTAGTAGTGACTACTTGCTATGTATGCAGTGCTGTCTCTCGCTGCCGTCTGGTGTACACGGGTTTCCAGAACATACCTGAAGAATGCTGAGCCACATGTACACTGTGATTCCTAGAGGACATCTGCCTGAAACCTTCCCTCCTTTCCTACCTGCTCTGCTGCGGTTGATGATGTCTAGACCCTAAGAAAGGAACCTGCGAGTTTTCTTTCCCTCTTTACTTGGAGCCCTGACTTACCTATAACCGTCAGCCTCCTGCTCTGTTCCCCAGGGACCCACATGGCCCCTTCTGCCACACTCTCTGGGTCCCCGTCCTGCAAGCCTACAGCCTTCCCTTCCCCTCTCCAGAAAGGAGGCCCTCATGGGTCCTGTGCCGGGCAGACTTGTGTTTCCCTTCCCTACCTCCATTTCTCTGCCGGTTGCAGATACCCATGCACATTCCCCGTGGTCGTGCCACCCTCCCGGGCCCCTCACCCAAAGGTTTGGATTGGGGGTGTGGTGAGTGGCTTGGGCCACCCCTGATGGTGGATGTGGACATAGGGACACACAGTCTTTTTTTTTCTTTTTTTTAAGATTTATTTATTCATTTGACAGAGATCACAAGTAGGCAGAGAGGCGGGCAGAGAGAGAGAGGGGGAAGCAAGCTTCCCGCTGAGCAGAGAGCCCGATGCAGGGCTCGATCCCTGGACCCTGGGATCAAGACCTGAGCTGAAGGCAGAGGCTTTAACCCACTGAGCCACCCAGGCGCCCCAGGGACACACAGTCTTACTTTACTTCATAATCGGCCTTCAGTGTGGAGGTCCCTACTGCAGAGATGACATTATCTCAGGACCTAATCCGTGATGAGTTCAGACTGCCTACTGCCTGCCGTGTGTCGGGGTTCACCTCGGAAGCGCTGCTCTATCTCCAGCGCTCTTCTCTGAGAACGGTATTGCGGCGTTTGGGGTAACTGCGTTTTATAACATCTTAATTAATTTCCTTTTGTTTCTTATATCACCTCAGATGGAGATTTATTTTTTAACTTGTCACTATTTCAATTCCACCTGGAATCAGGGGGAAGGAAAGTGCTCATGCTGGGTTCTTTCAGGCTCTTAAAATGAGCCTGAAACTGCCAGAACTGAAATGTCTGCATGTGGCGCTTGCAAGTAACTATGCTAGTGCTGCGAGGTGTGGAACCCAGTCCGGTTTTGCTCTCCATGGCTCTTTTGGCAGTTCTGTTACTGGCTGGAGGGGAAGATTTGGTCTTGGCAGAAAAATAACTGCTCTGACTCAGAGCTACAAAGGGACAGGTGATGAAAAGATCCCGCTTAAAAACAAACCGGTTTTCACCTGGCCTGGTTATGTGGGCCCATCAGCCAGCGGGTCAGCTGCTAACCTCCCTGCCTCCCTCCCTCCCTCCTGTCCTGTCCTCATTCCCTGTTCGCCCTTGTATCATTTGCAGTTTGCATCAAGAATCTATTAGAGGAAAATAAAAGCATAGTATTCAGACTATTAAGGCAATTTAATTGCTATAGAGATTCATTATTTTTTAAAGATTTTTATTTATTTGATAGAGACACAGTGAGAGAGAGAACACAAGCAGGGGGAGGGAGTAGGAGAGGGAGAAGCAGGCTTCCTGCTGAGCAGGAGCCTGATGCGGGGCTCTATCCCAGGACCCCGGGATTATGACCTGAGCCGAAGGCAGGCACTTAACGATTAAGCCACCCAGGTGCCCCAATATGTTTCTCGTTTTAACTTGAAACTCCCTGAGGCTAAAGGTAAAAGAGAGGCTGAATCAGCTGTGTAATCCTCATTTTCAGAAGGAAGAAAATGCATGAGTTTTCAGAGCACATCCCGTGTTCCCCGTGACTGAATGCTAAAGCACCTGCATCCAGGACTTTGTGTGCAGAGCACTGAGAGACGTGGGACCAAAGTCTAGTTGTCATCCCATAGGAGAGGCAGAAGGGATTCCATGTGACTGCTCCTCCCCAAGTCAAGGACTGTCACACAGGACTGGCCCCCTAGGGTCTCCTCCTGTCATGGACTAGGATTCAAGAGGAAGCCTGCCAAATCAGCTGGCATAGGCAGAGTGAGCTTTCCTGGGGCGAGGGGAAAGCCTCATTGGTCCAGAGAGGCAAAGAAGGCTCAGGAAGACCTGAGCTGTGTGTCCCCACATCCCTCATGGTGGCTGTCAGCCAGGCCGGGCCTGCAGGATGAGCCTGTGACCCCAGGCAGGGACCCCTCCCCACTGCCTCTTTGCCCTGTTATAGCTCAAGCCAGAGCAGCCGTGTCCCCGGTGCGGGAAGCAGACCGCTTGGACACCAGCTGGAATTGCCGTTCCGGGGAGCTCTCTGGGAATGGCGGCTGCTGGGCACCCGGGGGCTGGGGCTGGAGCCGTCTGCGCTCTGCCGCTGGGGAAGTGGGACCAGCTGGGCTCCATCCCCACGCCAACCCCGAGTCTGTGTCCAGAGGCCTTTAAGACAGTCCCACACACTGCCCGGCAGGATTGGAAGGTCAGGCCAGGTGGAAACTGTGTGATATGGTTGAGGTACATAGGCGACTGGAGGGCCACTTTGAGAGAATTTGGGGTCCCCCAAAGAAATAATGATTGCCTGTCCTTCCAGGGGTATCCTGTAAGTATTCCCTTTTCTCAGGCTTTTCTCCAGGAGTTGTTCACAATTGAAATTGTACTTCTTCCAGGGTTCTCTGTTCCCCACTGAGAAGTCCCTCTGCTCTGAAAGCAGGTCTAGTCGTGGTTACAGCTGATAATCCTCAAAGAGGCTGCATGGCAAAATTAAGAGCCAGGCTGTCTGGGTTCGAATCCTTACTCTTCCCTTTTCCAGGTTTTACGTGTTCTCTCTACCCCTCAGTTTACCTACGTGCAGGATGGGGGCAGGATGCTACCGACCTCGTAGGGTTGTCTGCAGGAATTGCACGTGGTGCACGCTGCACGTGGCAGCTGCTGTGGTGGTTAAACTTGGCGCCCTCGCCAGATGGACACCGCCGCCCGCGCATGGCGACTTCCGGGGTGCCTGCCGAGCACACCGAACCGCCCTCAGCAACTGCTTCATACCTTCCTAGGCGCCTGACTCACTGCCTACCACCCGGCTGCTGGATGACTGGGGCCTTGGGGATCGTCAGGGCAGGGGTGCCGCAGCCTCAAGGGGACACATGAGGATGGCCCTCGTCCCCCGCCACCAACGCCGGAGGGCCTGGTGTGCAGCTTTGTGGGTTGTTGGTGATGGCCGACACAAATGTCCTGAAATGTGTCCACAGTAACCAAAGAAATTACAGGATGATGTTATTTGATAAAATACTTGAAATTAGAAAAATCCCTACCAGAGATAGATTTCATTTACGGAATAGTTAATATAAAGACATTCCAAGAAGGTGCCTGGGTGGCTCAGATGGTCAAGTGTCTGCCTTCGGCTCATGTCACGATCCCGGGGTCCTGGGGTCGAGCCCCATATCGGGCTCCCTGCTCAGCAGTGAGTCTGCTTCTCCCTCTCCCTCTGTGATCTCTCTCACTCTCCCTGTCTCTCAAATAAATAAATATAAATCTTTTTAAAAAATCGAAGATTAATCTGGATCCAGTGAGAACCACCTGCCTGTTGAGAGCACTCCTGACTGTTGACATGAAACCTTGCTGTCTGTGTGAGGAAGCAGCCGGTCTCTGGGCTGTGCCGGCCTCCTGGGTACATGGGAGTGATTAGCACGAGCGAGGGAAGAGCCCAGGACACAGAGCTGTTTCACATGCTGCTGAACCGTTTCTGCTCCCGGTGGAGGCACCGCGCTGCTGTCTTTCCTCTTCAGACTCAGCCACCACAGCTGGGCCTATAGTCACCTCCTGTCCGTCAGAGCCCAAAGCCAAGGAGAGGTCAATGGAAGTTTCCAGTTACTCCTGCCAGCCTTTTGGCAAGGTGGTAGGTGACTGGTGCCTGGTGGATTTGCCCACCCGTCCCTGTGAAATAGAGGGGGGCGACCCCTCCAGATGTGTAATGTATTGGAAGGGAGCTGGCACAGGTCTCGATGGGATGTTCTGCAAGGTAATAATTGTGTTCCTACAGGACATAATTGCCATTTGAAAGTAGTGTAGACCGCGTTTACATTTACCAGTTAGGTTATGGCCCGAAGATTTTGTGGGAAGTGGAAACTGGAAGTTCTGACCGTGCTGAGAAGCTGGAGGTTATAACTACCTGCAGCCTCCTCTGCTGCTTTGATTCCGGCCTGGTCATCAGATGAGCTCGAAGAGTGGGGTTTGCTGAGCCCCCTGGAGATCGAGTCAGACCCGCAGGCCAGTGAGCCGGGGGTTCAAGAATGAGGTTAAGGGCAGGTCAGCCTGCCACAGCGTATAGGTTAGGGGTGTGTTCGTGTGTCTGTGTCTGTCTTCAGGCTGAGTGGGGGGTGGCTAAGAAATGGCTACGGAATCGCCAGTCGAGGGTGAGCGCTCTTCCGCTCTGCCGCCGGCGTCTGCTAACGCGCTAGTCCAGCAGAGCGCCTCTTTCAGGGTTGAACAATGTGAAATAACCACTGTGTGTTCTTCCTTTAGACCGCTGCTCTTCCAGACGAGCGAGCATGTGGCCAGCAGCCCCGCGCTGGGGGACATTATTCCGTTCAGCATCATTATTCAGTTTTTGTTTACCAGAGCACCCGCTGAGCTGAAGTCCCCTTTTCAGGTAATAAGGTAAAGCCAGAATGCTCTTACAGGTCCCTCTTCAGTCCATAAATCCAGAGCCCCACTCATGGACTGCGCTCCTGGCCTTCTCTTGCCTTACTTGGTCACGAATCCCTGCCTTAGAAGTGAATGATTCAAGAAGGAGAGTCCCCACCCCCCAGCCCGACTCTCTCAGCAGTGTGCAAATTACCCGAGGAAGCCTGAATTCACCTTCTAAGTGTAATGGCTCAAGTAACTCATGTTCGTAAAGCTTTTCTGATGGAGGCCCCACTTTTGCTAGCCCCCCTGCCAGTGGCTAATCCAGAAAGTTCCTTGGGAGCTGAGAAGGTGCACCACAGGCTTGCGGCCTTCCTTCAGGCAGGTTTTTGGGTGATTTCACCTTGGGAATCCTTGAGATTGCTTGTGCCCGGTACTGCCCTTCACGGGAGAATGTGGACGCACTTTGTCTTCTCTAATTTGTGTCCAACCCTGCAGAGGGCAGAATGGTCCCACGCACGCTTCTCCCAGTGGCTGGATGACCACCCGTCTGAAAAGGACCGGCTCCTCCTCATCAGGTAAGGCCGTGAGCCCCTGGGGCACCTGCGTGTCTAGCAGCCCGAGGGCTGGGGCGGGGGATGCGACCCGGAGGAGTGAGGAGCAGTGCGTGGGTGGACACACGGTGGCGCCTCCTTGTGGCTGGGCCCCCTCGGTGCGCACCATGTGCCCAGAGCACCCCACCGGGTCCTTCATTAGCACATCTTCACATGGCTGTGGGCTGCCCCGTGCCCCACGCAGCCCAGGATCTGTGCGCCCTGGGTTTGAGAACTGGCGCCAGCGACGGAGAGACTCCTTGCTGTAGGTCCCCATTTTCTGCTTCATGTTGGGATGTCACTGTCACATAGTGGCCAACCGCAAGAAACCTTTGCGACATCATGCAACTCCCGTCACCCTTGTTCTCCAAATCTCAGTCAGTCGTACTTCTGAAAGAGCTCCAAAAGCCGCATAACCTGGGTTCCCCAAAGCAGGGCAGGGAAGTGGAGAGGGGCTGATGGGGCAGGATGGTGCCCCACTGCGCGCGCACAGGAGAATCCCTCGCAGAGCTTGGAGAGAGCCTGGTGTCCAGGCCAGGCCAGCCCCTCAGCCACCTCAGAATGTCCAGGGCGGGCACTCGGCCCTGGGATTTCCCAAAGCTTCCCGGGCAGGTCTGCAGCACGGCCAAGGTTGAGACTCCACCAAGGAGGAGGCCGGGAGGGGCCGTGGAGAAACACGAGGTGGTGGCTTCTGGGAGGGAGCCCGAGCCCTCGGGTTCGGTGTCCAGAGCTGGGGTGGGCAAGGAGCCCATTATCCCAGCTGTGAGCGTCGGGCCCAGAACTGGGACAGGAGGCCAGAGGCACCTCCCTTCAGTGCCTGGGGCCAGTTTGAGCTGCCCTAGGAGGGGCTTTAGGGACCGAGGAGAGGCTTGGCCTGGGGCTAACTCGGAGATTTGTGGTGTCTGGGTGGATGTTTTTGTGGAGTCTCCAAGACCCGCTAAGCTGAAGCATCCTGGACTGAGGAGGAGTCAGGACGCGGTTAATTGAACGGGGCTCCTGTGTGTCTTAGCGAGCTGGAAGGAGTTCATCTACAACAGTCGTCCTGCTGTGGGCACATCACAAATCTGTTTGCTTTTGCTTCTCTTAAAAATGTCTCCTGAGTGATTTCATCACCAGTGCTGTTGCTAAGCCTATATTTAGCAACTGAAAATCATGCTCAGAGGCACTGTCAGGCTTTTAAAATAAGGCCTATCCGTCACACACGCCGCTGTCAGAACCTCCAGGCCCCGGGCAGCACACCGAGCCCTCTGTGGGGGATTCCAAACCGCTGTGCTCCTACCACAGCCCAGGCTGCTGGCAAGGAGAGGAGCTTTGTCCTAGAGAATGTTCTTTCTTATCTACTACTGCAAAACTAATTTGGTCCATGCGAGCTGAAGCAGCACGAGATGAACTTCTTTCCCCTGTAGATAAGCCCAGGGTGACTGTTGCTCTTTAAATGTCAGTACTTTTGTTCTGACCTTTGGGGAGACCCTGCCGTGTACTCATCGGTCCCCCCGGCACAGTATGTTCAGTTGTCATAAAGAGGCCGGGTCAGGAGACTCGGCTGCGGCTGAGTGCGTAGCGAAGAGTGAAGCCTCCTCTGCCTGCCTTTCTGTTTCCTTTCGACACCAGATGTTTTTCAAGAGCGTGAATGGGTACTAGTCACGATCCTGTTAAAATCGGAGGACTCGCTGACTTGTGGGGGCAGGTGGTGTGAGTGGGAGCCCACTGGGAGTCCTCTGTGCCCACCAGGCAGGGGCGGCAGCCTCAGGGAGGGCCTGGGGCCCTGTGGGTGCTGAGTGTCCAGCAAAGAGGAGGACTGATGCCTCGGCTCTGCAGAAGTGGGGGGCGGGGGGCTTCTCCCTATCTCCCGTGGGGCTGCAGCTCTTACCACGGCGCTCTCCTCCTCTGCTTCTTCACCGTGTCAAAAATGCTGACGAGCTCTGTTGGCCCCTCGGTGCTGTTTATCTGTTCAATGGTGGGACAACTGTCCCCACCAGATGCGGCCGGGGACCCTCTGTCCTCCCTCCATGGCCCAGGGCCTGCAGGCCCAGAATCATCCCAGCTCCTCAGCCCTTCTGCGGAGCAGCAGGATCCCGGCTGATGAGAGGACATTTGGTCTCCCCTTCTGGTGTCCCTGTCGCACCAGATACCTGTGGCCTGGGTGCCTGAGACAGAACCGAGAGTGAGGACGGGGCCTGGAGGAGTCAGGGGCTTCCTTGGCTCTGAAGGCAGGTGGTAGATCTTTAAGTCTTTGACAGATTTCATACTTAATGCCTGACAGAAATGGATTTTGTGTCCCATAAAAACCTCTACTTGGCTGGTTTATAGCACACTGAGCCGTGTTGCCGTGTTACCACCAGTCTTCCCTCTACTAGCTGTGCAGTTCCTGTGCTTTTTCTTTTTCAATAAGGATAACTAACAATCTGCTCATTTTGATGACAAACGAGACTTGAGACTAACTCTTACATAATGCTTGGCCTGACTTCCAAGAAAGCTGATGTTTTGCTCAAGCAAATGAAGTTATTTAATAATTGCTTGAAAATCCTGTTCTGATTTTATGTGGGAGGGTAGCCTTAATCTGTTTTTCTCCCTCTAGTTCTGATGGTGTTTTTCATGAATACCAAAAAACTAACCAAGCTCATTTCTGAATTTTCTTCTGCATATCGTGTAATTTACGTAATGTCTTGTCCTTTTGAATGCAAATGAAGTGAAGTTGATTTTCGTTCCTTTATTAGATAAAGTGGATCTAACTCATTCACTTCAGAGCAACCGCAGTTTCCGTGAATTTCAGTGCACTGATATGTTAGACTGCTGTGTAGACACCACTGTGTCAAAGACAGCCCGAGCCCTTGGGGATTTCTGTTCTGTGTACGAGTCTGCAGGGGCTACATTTTGGGAGTGGGGCGATTGCCCAGGATGCCATAGCAACTTGAAAAGTATTACTAAAAGCAGCAAGATTTTTCATAAAGAAACCCTTCACGAAGGTTCAGCTCTGACATGAACTAAGGCGTCTCCAAAACATTATTTTCTAAGAGCATGAAATTCCATTTTTCATGTCGCTGCTGCTTTTGTGAACCCTACAGTGCCATTTCCCCTTTATTCACTTTCTTCTGTGCTCCTGTCATCGCTTTTCATTACAGTTTATCTTCCTGTATTTCTGATTCATTTTTAAAAATTCACCGATCATGCATCTGTCAGGCACTACATCCTGGGGCTGCATAAATGAACAAAACAGCCCCACTGCTCCACATGAAGTTACATTCCTGGGAGGGGAACTCACCAGGGACCAGGTGCTTGCGGTGTAGTGGATACTTAGGCACGGTGTGCCGATGCCCGCTGGAAGCCTGGTGGGAGAACCGTGTTTGAGCGCCTTATGGGTCCAGAGATGTTCCTAGAAGAGCGCCAGGTGCTTCCCAGTACAGTCTTAATTCTCATAAGTGTATCATGTAGGTGTTTGAGCAAACAGGCTCACAAGGGAGCTGGGATTGCACAGCTCGGTAATAGGGCAGAGCCTGACGTCCACACTGCTGACCATCCACACCGCTGACCGCAAGTCGTCCTGCCTCGAACAGAGCCTGGAGCCAGCCGGCAGGAATCCCACAGTGCGGGGTCCCACGAAGTCCCGGCTCTTGACGCCGCAGTCTTGGACCTTTTCCACCAGTTCTCAGGACTCCAAGGGGGTTTCTGTTGTGCTGCCTGGAGTTAGAAGAGGCTCTGTCAAAACGAAGGCCTTAGAGCCGGCCCCTAGCAGAGCGCCCTGCAGGGAAGATGGCCCGGAAGAGCCTCCCAAAAAGAAGGACGAGAGCGGAGAAAGGCCTCGAAGGATGGGTCTCGGGAAAGTGGGGAGAGGCCGTGTGGTGGGAGACAAAGGGCCCTCTCGCAGCCCCACCTTGGTAGGCAGAGATGGCTTTGTTTCGGCTTCGTTTCAGCGAGACGCTGGCCACTCGTGGGGCCTCTCCCCGGTGGGCCTCGGAGTCAGGCTCGGGGTCACAAGTCGGGGGAGGCTGCTCTGCTCGTGTGTAAGTAACACAAACAATGGAAGCACGATTCAAAGGTGTTTTTAGGCCACAGCGAACTACCTAGAAGCCTGCAGTAGCACAGGCGGGCAGGGAGGTCACGATGAAGCTGGTGCTCCGTGGGTAGCGAGTGTAGACGCTGGCCTCATGGTGCAGCGTGTTCTGAGGCGGCTCCAGGGATCGGGGCAGCGCACGGCAGGACTGAGACGGAAGCCGAGGGGAGAGGAGGGACTGGGGGTGGAAATCTGTGAGGAAGATGAAAAGAGGACTTCAGATAGAGGCTCAGTGGGGGGGGGGGGGGGGCTCTGCTGAAATAGGAGATGGGGGGCAGAACACTACCCGGAAGGGTTTTTCCCCGAGTTTCTTTTCTTTTTTTGATAGACTTTTTTCTAAAATTGTTAAAATTTATGTTTTTTTAAAGACTGCTTATTTGAGACAGAATGAGCTGGGGAGGAGGCAGAGAGAGAGGGAGGGAAGCAGACTCTCCGCTGAGCACGGAGCGGGATGCAAGCAGGGCCGGACCCCACAGCGGGGATCACGACCGGAGCGGAAATGACAGGGGAGCGCTTAACCGACTGAGCCCCCACCCCAGGCGCCTGGATAGATTTCATTTATTTTTTATTTTTTTAAGGTTTCATTTAATTATTTGGGAGAGAGATAGTGAGAGATAGAGAATGAGCAGGGGAGGCGGGGGGAGAAGCAGGCTCCCCTCTGAGCAGGGAGCCCGATGCGGGGCTCAATCCCAAGACCCTGGGATCAGAACGTGAGCGGGAAGTAAACGCTTAACCTACTGAGCCACCCAGGCGCCCCTAGATTTTCTTTTTTAGAGTAGCTTTAGGCTCACAGCATATTTGAGAAGGTAGACAGTTCCCATCCACCCGACGGTCCCCCCCATTAGCAGGGTCCCGCATGGGTGCCCCACGGTTCCGGTTGATGCGCCCAGCTGCGCATCATTGTCTCCCAGAGCCCCGGGCTTCCGGGAGGCTTCTCCCCGGTGCTGATCGTTCTTGGGGTTTGGAGTGTCCTGTTTCTGACAGGAGTTTGTTTCTGACAGGGCACGTGAGAGAAGTCGGGTAATGCTGCCCACAACACAGACGGAGCAAGTCAGGAGGGAGGTCGGAGTGGACATGAGACCGGGAACTCCGTTACGGGTCACAGCAGGGCCATGAAGTGGCTGGCGGGGGGAGGGCACCCCAGGGCGAGCGATAATCGGCACATCTGACCGGGGGTCAGTATGCGCAGCGTTTGGGAGCAGAAAAACCGGTTACGAGTTCCGTGTTAGACTTGACACCAAGTCCGTGAGCGAGTGGAGGTATTAGTAACACATCTTTGCAGAAACGCGCTCTTCTCATCTCAGCGTGAAACTTGGAACGGTGGGACTATGAGAGAAATTTTACTGTTCCACTTGGGGCGTAAATAGACCAATAAAATCCTTCAACCATTCTTGGAACCGGATGATCTGTTTAACCGGTTCCGAGATTAGAGAACTTTCTCCATAAAGGTGCAGGCGGCAGGTGGTGTAGGCCCTGCGGACCCGGCCGGCGGGTCCGTCTGCGGCTGTGGCGGGGAAGCCGCGGGCGGTGAGCGGGCGCCGCGCTCCGCCCGGCCAGGCTGGTTCGCCGGTTCGCCGGTCCCCCACCCAGCGCAGACCCCAGTCATGGTTTTAACCGCTGGTAGCGCGTCCTCCTGACTAAAGTCAGACAACCTCATCCCAGAAGTCGCTGAAACTCCGAGCCCAGCGGCAGCACCGTCTCCCGGGGGTTCTTCCTCCCCTCCAGGTCCAGGGTGTTGAGGCACCGCCCCGGCTGACCGTGACCGTGTGCGCGGCAGCCGCGCCCCACCGCACCCCTGAGCGCGCTGATCGGCGGCGGCGGGCTCCCCCTTGTGAGCTCTGTGGAACAGCACAAGCTGCCGCTGGTCAGAAGCCTGGACCCGGGAAGGGAAGGGAAACTCAGAACAACCCGCGGCCGCAGAGCCTGTGTGTGAGACCACCACTGAGTACAACGCAGACGAACGGTGTTCCTGGACTTCCGCGGTAGCCATGGTAATGCTACCACCAGACATTTGAAGGCTGTCACTTTGTCACTTAGCTTGTGGAACTGGACACAGCGATTCCAGAAATGGGCTGCTTTTATATACTGGTAACCGTCTAAGTGGTTTTATTTATTTTGACATTGTTTTCATTTTTGTTTTCAGGGGAGCTCTGGAAGCTTATGTTCAATCGGTAAGAAGTAGAGAAGGCAAAGAATTTGCACCAGTTTACCCCATAATGGTGCAGCTGCTTCAGAAAGCCATGTCTGCTCTTCAGTGACGGCGGCACTACTTCCCCATCTCCCTCGCCCGGCCCCGGCTCCAGGCTGCAGTTCGCCTGGGAAACGCGCACTCTAGAACCAGCTGCCGTCCACGGCTTTCTGTAGTCGGCCTCTCTCTGTTCCCTGTTATCTTCCACTTACCTCTTCAGCCCGTCTCCCTTTAGCGTAAAATGTCAAAATTTTCTGCTTTTAGAGGGATCTGATCAAGTTACAAATACCCCGCTGCTCCCAATTAACCTTTGCCCTCACTAGGTAAGTGTGTAGCCCAGTGACTTCCAAATCTGACTGCACATCAGAGTCGCTGCTGGAAAGCTTTCGAAATCCTGATGCCCCCTGTGTACCCCTGGTGACACCTCTGGGGGTGCGAACCGGGCATTAGTTTTTAAAAACATCCCCGGGTGTTTCCAATATGCAGTGAATTCTGGGAACCGCTGCTATCTCCCAAAGCTAAGACATAGGGTCATACGTTAAGTCTGTCTTACAGTATCTTTAATAAAGACAGAGCACGCCTGTCCTTATACTGTGTGTGTCATTTTATTAAAAGCAGGCTTTGGGGGCTGGCTGTTCAACTTTGTAGCAGAGATGTCAAGTTAAAAACAATTTCTGGGGACGCCTGGGTGGCTCAGTTGGTTGAGCAGCTGCCTTCGGCTCAGGTCATGATCCCAGCGTCCTGGGATCGAGTCCTGCGTCGGGCTCCTTGCTCGGCAGGGAGCCTGCTTCTCCCTCTGCCTCTGCCTGCCTGTCTGCCTGCGCTCGCTCGTTCTCTCTCTCTCTCCTGACAAATAAACAAAATCTTTTAAAACACCATTTTTGGTCTACAAAGATCTTACACATAGATGATCTAGATCCTTGTTTTTCCATTGCCCGTGACCTGTCACTAACATTGTTTTTAATTTAATGTTTAAAAACCCCATCAGCAACTTAATATATTTTCCACGCCCTGCACCTGTTGTTCTGACTCAGACATAAAGTTCAGTCAAGTTCAATCAGAAGTCCGAGATAAACAGGCTTTTTTTTTTCCATTTTATTTGAAATAATATACAAGAATATAGTGTGCAAAATTTAGGGGCAACATCATGAAGAAGTATAATGAACTGAAATCAATTTTACAGCTGTGATTCCTAACCAGAAACACCACTTGGTAAGTAACATGAAAAGCCATGATTGTAGCTCAGAGCAAAAGCGTGTGCGCTCTCATCTCAGACAGCTGGAGGGAAAGTAAAGTGCACGTGTCGCACCGCAGTAAGTGCAAAGTCTGCCCCCACCATACACATAGGATGACAAACGAGATATTTAAGATATGTGGCTGAGGAGATACAGAACACAAAGTTAAACAATACAATGGTGTCAACTGTTAACAGCACCATGACAGTGACTATATCCCAATGCTATTAACTAGCTCGACCGGGCCCTGCGCGAGGCCTCCGCCCGAAGTCCTGGGGGGTGCTGCCGCCCGGCGTGCCCGGGAAGCCCTGTGGCAGGCGGTGTGCGCTAGGACGCCGACACCGCGCACCGGCCGCGTTCTGGGCGCCTCACGGCACCGGCTGGACTAGGAGCTCCCGGGTTTGGCACAGAGGCTGGGCCACGTGGTGGTCGCTCGAGGAAAGGCCAGCTCCCGGCTCTGTTGCCTTCCACTATGTGTACATTACAGATTAATAAGCAGTAAGGAGCCAATGTATAAACAGCAGTTACATATTTTTAAATTCCCCCTTTGTACAATTTAAAATAAAACATGTATACACTCTCCTCTCTTTCTACTGTACTTTAGCACCACAGGATATCAATTTTCAAGCCTATATTACCTGATAGACATATATGAAGTTTGGAAGAAAAATAAGGCAATTTGGTTTACAATGTTGATAGTTTTAGCTTACTTAATGCTCTAATGGAGAAAGCAAATCCTCACTCATATTATTAAATCATTTCAAGACTCAATGCTATCAGTATCTTATGGTCACACGAATTCAGGACAAATGGTGACACCTTGATCTTCTTAAGCCCCTCCGTCAACAGTGTTTCTGCAACTACAGACTTAAGAACGTAAGCACATCCTGGCTTAATGCTGCTGCGAGCCCTGTGGAGAGAAAATGAACACAGCGAATGTTTACAAATCAATACACAGTAATTCTACAAATGAAAGCTAAGATGGAGAATAGAATGTTTATAAACTTACAATTTTAAAAAAAGATCACTTTCTCAAATGGGACAATTCTTTTTTAAAGTGTGGTAACACCCAACAGCTCAAGCATCCAGAAAATGTATGAAAACAGTGAGAAGAGATGGGTTAGGAAGAGGGAAGAGGAGCAAAGGAAGGCGATCCAGGCCAAGTCCTACCACACCCAAGTCTAAGGTAGTAACTTCAAAAAACTGGCTGAGCCGCCCTCTTCTACTGGAGTCTGACCACCGTCTGCTGCTTTAACAAGAAATTCCTGATAGACGACGTACGCGATCGTGAACTGCATGTTACTTGAAAAAGACACGCGTAGCTCCACAAAACGAACGTTAAGACATCCTTGGCTAGTCCTCCCGCTGTGAAGGACGTCTTCATTTTTAAATGGTACTTCAAATTGAGCTCACTCTGTTCTATCATGTGAAGTTTTCTTTCGAATTAATCTAAAAACACGACTCAAAAGTTGCTAGCCTAGTAATGCAAACATTCTAAGAATCCGCTCCATCCAAGGCTGTGTTATTATGGTGTGAATTCATTTAGTAGAGTTTTCCTAGGCCTATTTCTTCTCCTTCCTGAGGTTTTTAATCTAGAAATTCTGTGCAAATGTCAGAAGGCCCCAGGAAAGTTAATGTGTCCTAGAAAAGAAAGGCTCCTGGGACATGTCACCCCCAAATTAGAAAGATTTTGTAGCATACTACTGAGTTGGTTATACCCAACTTTCAACCCAACTAAAAATACTACCATTCCAAAATTATTTTTCCACCTCAACGTTTCTGGATAAACATTCTTCTTAAGCATGCCAGACACTTCTACTTTCCATGCTAAAGAATAAATGGCACTTCATAATTTAAAAAAAAAAAAAAAAAAAAGGAAGCCTGCCTCATGGGATGGTATAAAACATTAGGTTGCAAAGTATAAAAAGGCTGAGAAGAGACTCGATACCACTTTTTCAAGGTTATAAGCATTGTTCCACACACCAGTACAGTTTTGGGGAAAAGTCAAGATCTTTTTGAGCAACAAGTTGTTGAGACCTACTGAATTGGTTCTTTTCCTTTTCCAACAGTCAGGATTTAGGCGTTTTTGTTCTTCAGCCAAAGCCTTTGCTTCTAACGTATACATCCTTCTCTCTTCATTCTTCATTTTCTTCCACCTGTCGCCGAGGATCACGCTTATGGCTCTGTAAAATAAACATGCACAGGATGCTGAAGGCCAGAATTTCTTGTAAGACGCATGTCCAGTGCTGCTACCTCAGAAAGAAATAGTCAAAAGTGAAAAGAAAAAAAGACAAGAATCTTGTCTAACAGAGAGAAGGAAAAAGATCAAGGCTATAGTAGTCATTTCCAGTAAAATCCCAGTCCCATGGGTCCATTCATCATAATCTTGGCAGTTAAAAGCCTCCTGGAATAGTGCCAGTACTTCCAGTTGTCAGAGAACATCTAAAATGGCTACAAATTCAGTGTCCTACAGAGCTTAAAGAAAAAAGTGAAGTATTTCAGTGAAATGGTTTAAATTACCACTGGCTCTACCGTGGTGTACGTCGGTTTTCTCAGAGATGCTTAAGAGAGCAAGGCAGTGTTCGGTATCAGCAGCATAATGTATTAAGAGCTATTTTAGCTTTCTGTTTGTGCTCATACATAACCCATCAAATATTTGTGATCAGAGTTTCACTCATTCCTGTAACCCTAGTGAAAATGTGGAGGCATTAACCATGCGCTCCGGACTGTTCTCCTAACACAACGCCAACTAAATCCTAGGTGAGCTCCGTAGTGGAAGAAATAGGATAAACTCCAAAGGAAGAAGTCCAACTGGATAAAACACATCATGATAGAAATCCGAAGCTATTTCCTATTTATATTTGTTAAACTGCTCCTAAAACCAGTGTTTAAATCTCATCCAGAACATGCAGAAACCATGGACGCCATGACACAAAAGTCACGTACGCTGCGCGAAGTGTATACAAGTGAGCTCAGTGCCTGACGTGGAAGCTCGAGCGGGGCGTCCGGGCCTCGGAAGAACAGCAGCGCAGCTCTACTGCTTAGCAAGAAAGTCACTACGCAGTGAATATGGACACGGACAGATGTGTATGTAGTTTTCCCAGTAGGCTGATGCAATTAAACATTGTACTGCATCTTCCTTTCTCAAAATAAAACCCAGTTTTTACAATGGGTTAAAGGTACCACATAACGGTTGATACATTTACCAGTTAAATCAGTAAGAAACGGGGGCGCCTGGGTGGCTCAGTGGGTTAAAGCCTCTGCCTTCGGCTCAGGTCATGATCCCAGGGTCCCGGGATCGAGCCCCACATCGGGCTCTCTGCTCAGCCGGGAGCCTGCTTCCCTTCCTCTCTGCCTGCCTGTCTACTCGTGGTCTCTATCATATAAATAAATAAATAAAATTTTAAAAAAATCAGTAAGAAACGTTAGGTATCAATTCCCAAATGATAAGTGCATTTGGGGGGCGCCTGGGTGGCTCACTGGGTTAAGGCTTCTGCCTTCGGCTCAGGTCATGAACCCACGGTTCTGGGATTGAACCCTGCATCCGGCCCGGCTCTCTGCTCAGCGGGGAGCCTGCTTCCCTTCCTCTCTCTCTCTGCGTGCCTCTCTGCCTACTTGTGATCTCTATCAAATAAATAATAATTTTAAAAGTCTTAAAAAAATTAAGAAGTACATTTGGTTTGAGACATTTCTTTTTTAAAATGTAAATACTTAAAAATGTAGCTCGTGAGAAGAGACTGGTAGCCGCCAGAGGCCGGGGGTGGGGTGTGCACGAAATGCATGAAGGGGGTCAAAAGGTACAAACTTCAGTTGTGCAGTCAATCAGTCGTGGGGCCGTCAGATGCCGAACAGCGGCCGCGGTCAGTACCACTGTGCTGTGCATTTGAAAGGTGCGCAGAAGAGCTCCTAGAAGTTCTCCTTACAAGAGAGATCTGTAACTGCGCAGTGGCAGCCGTAACTAGCCGTCCTATGGCGAGGGTTTCACGGCCTCTACAGACACCGAATCGTGACGCTGACCTGAAACCATGTCCACTCCCTGTCCCTCTATGTAGCAGCTAAGCTCATGAGACGTTCAACCTCGAGTTCAAAACTGTTGTTTTGGGACGCCTGGGTGGCTCAGTTGGTTAAGCAGCTGCCTTCGGCTCAGGTCATGATCCCAGCGTCCTGGGATCGAGTCCCACATCGGGCTCCTTGCTCGGCAGGGAGCCTGCTTCTCCCTCTGCCTCTGCCTGCCATTCTGTCTGCCTGTGCTCACTCTCTCTCCCTCTCTGACAAATAAATAAATAAAATCTTTAAAAAAAAAAAACAAAAAAACTGTTGTTTTACGTGGATAATCATTTGACTTTTCTCAGGATATCAAGGAAAACAGTAGTTTTGATTGTCAGGGAACTGGGGAAACTGGAAGAAGTAATTTAAATAAAGGAAGAATTTAGGCTGGTGTGAGAGGGAGTGAGTAGAGGACACTAAGAGATCAGCTAAGCGTATAAACAGAGTGGAAAAGACTGGAGTCAGTTTTATCCCTGGGTTCTGAGTTTCATCTTCGGCAGTTTATAATGATTTCTACATTTGTCCAAACTGCCACTGCCTGCCCATTCCATAGTATGACACAGTTGTAATACATCCTTGAGATCTGACACAAGAAACTGTTCTAGAAAGATGGAACAGTCAGTTGTTAGAACTGTGACTTCCAACAGGCAAACAACATTTAATATTATTTTAGAAGGCAGATCCTTAGGTAACCCAAATTCTCTCCAGGTATTATAAAATATTTACCCATGACCCTAAAAATTCCCAACTTTTTAAAGTCAACCTAAGAAAATGAATTCAATAATAAAAACTATTGGGGGGGGGCGCCTGGGTGGCTCAGTCAGTTGAGCATCTGCCTTCGGCTCAGGTCGTGGTCCAGGGGTCCTGGGATCAAGCCCCGCATCGGGCTCCCTGCTCTGTGGGGAGGCAGCTGCTGCTTCTCCCTGTGCCCCTCTCTCATGCTAAGTCAAAAAAATCTTTAAATAGTAATAAAAACTTTTGGAGGATAAGTTTACTTAACTACCCCAGTTCCTGTAAAACTGTACTGAGTTTTAATTATTAGAATCAGAAATACTCTTTTTACCTGTTATCTTTCCCTGGATACATCTGAGTATATTCAACTCTGTATTTTTTGGCAAAAAGCATGAAGGCATTCATTGGTCTTTTGCACTTGTTAGGAGAAGTGGCACTCACAGTCCCTGAGCTGTGGGTTTTGACAGCTTTAGCATACAAGGAATTGGAAGAGAGCTGTGATGATCCTGGTGAGCCACAGTTTTTACTGAATCCAGATCTTGCAAAGTCTTGACCTCCAGGCCCTCCACAAGACAAAGATGCACGACGCTGACGAGCCATACTACTTAACACATAGACTGCAGAAGAATCCATAGGTGTGAAGTCATAGCTAAAAAAAATGTATTAACATGGTTTTAATTCAGTTGAATTGGTTTGTAAAAACATGATTAAAAAACAAAAACAAAACCCTTAACATCTGATTGGAAATGTCAATGTGTATGTTACCCAACTCTAACCACTTCACCACTGATAGTTGCTTGTAAGCTGAAAGCTTATATCTGCACGGACTAAAATTACTATTTTTTAAATCTACAGAGACTACAAAAGTTAAGAAAACTTCAAGCCCCCACAAGAATGTTATAATCTGCACATTTTATCCATAGCAAGTACCTCCTCCAGATCCCACACAACCCACTTAATTATTGCTTAAATTCACTTTTTGACAAATTTGATAATCTGATTTCTTGGCCTACAGAAGTCTAAATAAAGCTAGAAAATTCAGATGGAGCAGCAGGCATGTACCAGGCCTGAGGACTAGCTGCTAGACAAGGCAAAGTGTGGGGGAAGGACAGTCAAAAGCGGTTGAAAACACTGGGGCACCTGGGTGGCTCATTCGGTTAAGCCTCTGCCTTCAGCTCAGGTCATGATCCCGGGGTCCTGGGACAGGGCCCCACACTGGGCTCTCTGCGCAGCAGGGAGCCTGCTTCCCTCTCTCTCTCTCTCTCTCTGCCTGCCTCTCTGCCTACTTGTGATCTCTGTCAAATAAATAAAATCTTAAAAAAAATTTTTTTTTAAAGCAGTTGAATACAGCTAAAGGAACTTAAAATTTTGTTTGTTTACATCAAGACGGTCATGTACACATCCATCACCCCTGAAGGCCATCCATCTAGAACACAGTTTAAGAACTTAGAAGTGAGAACTTGCACTCAGCAGGCAAGTTCCATATTTTGGCAGGTATATTCAGTTTACGTGGGCATGGAAACCAGCTATCCATATTCTCTCATTTTCCCAACAAGCTCACTTAGCGAGTATCCTTAGCCTCTCTTTAAATAAAAAAACAGGCCAAGAACGGAACAAGTACTATTTACCCCAAGACCCCACAGCTACTAAATCCAGCCCCCCATCTTTCCACCTCCAAAGCCCTTAGATTTCCTCACCAAAACCATGGTGCTCCGCCTTGCCCCTGGGTGACCTCAAGGTGAACAGATGATAATCAGATTCACTGAAAATACTACCTCAAAAGTGGAGCTAATGTAGACGACAACCTAAAGATTACACCTGTCCAAGATTTCTTTTGTTCCAAATGTGTTAACACCCAGTGCTTATACCTCTTCTCTTAACAGAAAACTTTTTATTTCTAGGGTTGCCTAGGTGGTTCAGTCGTTAAGTGTCTGTCTTCAGTTCAGATCATGATCCCAGGATCCTGGGATGGAGCCCCACATCTGGCTCCCTGCTCCACGGGAAGCCTGCTTCTCCCTCTCCCACTCCCCCTGCTTGTGTTTCCTCTCTGTGTTCAAATAAATAAATAAAATTTAAAAAACTTTTATTCTAAATCTAGCCCCTACTCTCCCACTCTCTTCCTGAAACAGAAATTCTGGGAATCTATCACAACAGGTTGATATTAACTCCAGGAATAATAAGTATCTGCCTAAAGGTAAAGCAACAGGAGATCACGAATTATTCCAGAGACAGGGCCGAGAGGGCGCAGCGCCCGCGGCCCATGCCTTTCACTGCACACAATAAAAATGACTCCTACCAATTATCAACCACACCTGTGGGTTTTTTTTTTTAAGGTATCACATGAAATCAACGTAAATATGACTCCAAAACCATCTGGTCGATGTTTAGCAGTCAGGATTACATCAAAGAAACAATTTTGCTATCCTCAAGCCCCTCCCATATATAATTGAGAAAAACAGCAAAATTTAAAAAGCATTATAAATGAACCTGACATGGAATGATTCATCTCCACCAAAAGAAGTATTACAATTTGAAATACCAAAAGATTTAACAAAATTCTGAGGCAAGCTCATGAACTACTGAAATATGAAAACTCTACCATCTAGTGGTACAAATGGAGCCTGCCCTGTTTCCATTATGGATACAACGTCCTTAGCCTGAAATATGTAACCACAGAGTTCTGGATTTTGATGTCACAAAAGCATTAAAACAGGACCCAGACTGTCTAAAAGCAAGCCTCGAAGATCAGGACAGCCCGACAGCCGACAGCCAGAGCGGGGCGCGCCTCACCACGGGGAGCCCCGCCCGCACTCTCCCTGCGGCCTCCCCGCAACACCCTGCCCGCCTCGCCAGCTGTCACTCGAGCAAGGAGATCCCCACAGCAGGGGCAGCTCTGTGAACCGCCAGTCTGTTAGCCACTCGCGGACCCGTCCCTCCACATGATCATTTCACAGCCGGTTTCACAGGCCGCTGCGCAGTTCATCGACCGAGTCCCGCTTCCCCAGCGGAGCCGCGCCAAGCCGGGGTGCGGGCGCAGGCAGCCCTGCTCTGGTCCCGCGCGGGCCGCCGCCGCTCCCGCAGTGCACGCGGCCCACACACAGCCCCGGGCCCGCTCCTACTCTGGACGGAAAGCCAAGAGGCGGACCCTGTCTTCCCAAACCTTCGGTCCCCACGCCAGGCAGACCGGTTTCTCGAATATTTGACGACAGAGAAGGTAAATACCGTAGAACTTAAGAATGTAGGATTTTAACTGGGCTCAACCCCACCTCTTGCACTGACTAGCGGCGAGTCTGGGCAGGCAGAGGGCCACGAACCACGCGCCCCGCTCAGTTAACGTCTCTGAGAGGAACGTTCGCACAGAGCGCGCAGCTGTGCGGCCACAACAGCGTCCACGGAACTCAGCGGAGACCCGCGCCCCGCAGGCACGCACTACGGTGTCTACTGCTACTGCAGTGGGAACCTAGACTGGTAAACAGAGCACTAAACTCGGAGTCCTCGGATGACACAGACTTGAAACCTGGTTCTGACACTAATGGCTGTTTTAGCTCCTTAACGGTGCCCCATCTCCACCCCCAGCAAAGGGAGACGTCATCTCACTGGGCGCAGATTACCTCAGGTAACAGCCCCGGGGGCACAGACCGGCTCCTGATAAGTTTGTTAAATTCTATCTCTGGAACAGAAATGCCAACTTCACAGAGTCAGAAGTGACTCTGAAAACTGCCTGATGCCTAGAAGACCGGCCTCAATTCTGTGGCTCAAACGGGCTTCTCCAAATCATGCTCTCCGAAGCTTCCTTTCCACAAATGAACTGGAAGTTGTGTTTAAGAGCTCGTCTGTGCTGACTTCTGGTCCCTACCAAGCTAAAATCTACTCAAATGTCCTCTGTACAGCAGGACCTAAGAGCTGGCCCCAAAGCTCCAGAGTCCCCGGAGTTCACCCTGGGGCTCCCTCTCAGATGAGGGTTTCTTCTTCCTGCCGTTCTTCCCCTTCTTGCCTTCCTTACACCAGGCAGCACCTCCCTTAACCCACGAAGTCAATCTAATCCACAGGGAAAATGTAGGCAACTTCATGCTTCCCAACTTTGTCATGGTTTCCCCTGGATCAAACTGCCCATTTTCCACTCCTTTATGAGGAGCAGAAGGGACGATGCTGCTTCACGCCACAGCAAAACGAGACCAATGTCCAAGGTCATCTCAGGCGTGACTGCTGCTCAGTGGGACCAAGTGATGGGAACCTACCATCTTGGCAAAGCGGGAGTGCGTTAGCCTAGTGTTCCTTTTCGCTTAAAGGAAAGTTTTACACCATGTAACACTGGCTAGATAAAAAATATATAGAACTTTTATGTTATAAAGTGTACAAATAAATGCATAAACCCACAAACTAATTAAGAAATAGAATATTTCTCTCACTAAAGTTCCACATTTGCCATCCCCCAGAGAAAAAACCACTCTCCTGAACGGTTTATCATCCCCTTACTTTTTCAGTATGGTATTAGAAAAAATTCATAAACACAAGATATAAACACTACAGCAGCATCAATCATGTTAATACGTCAACTGTATCAGCACGTAACATGTAAAAGTCTTGTTACGCAGCGAAGAGTTAACACAGCAGGGGAGACTGCTCTCCCTTCGAGGGCATCCGTGCAAGGCTGGCCCTCGACCAGCATCTGGACTTAGGATTTCAAGGAGAGTTCTCATCATTCCACAACTGGTAAGAGTGGCTCATCGTGCCTAAACTGTGTGTACAAACAACATGGTTTGCCCTAAACACCTGCTTTCCTTTTGAAAGTCCGGAATCGGTACGTGCAAGGCCGAGGCAGCCTAAGAGACCAGCTCCCAGCAAAGCCCTGGCGAGAGTGGCCAACAGCTTCCCAGGCTGACGCCCCGGCCTACCCGCTGTTAGCACACGCTGCAGAGAGAGAGAGATGCACGCATGTGTGACTCCCCTGGGAGACAAGTCCTGGAAGCCTGGCTTCCTCCAGACTTCACCCCACGTGCCTTGCCTTTTTGTGATTTTGCTTTGTATCCCTTCACCGTAAGAAATCTTAGGCATGAGTGTGACTACAAACTAAATGCTATGAGTCACCCTCCTACATCGCTGAATCCCTAACTGTACAATGTGGATTATATATACTGTGTAAAAATTACATACATGTAATTAGATTTATAATTCTCTTAGATGTATTTCCACAGAACATCTGATTCCATAAAAAGTGTAATGATAATGCATATTTCTGAGACTAATCTTACTTAACATTATTTCTAAAATTGATTCATGTTTTACAATGTATGGCTATGGCTCATTCTTCTTCCACTTATAATTCTGTCGTGTGATTACATCATTATGTATGTGTCTGCAGCTGCTGAATTGCTGTAATGCATTGTTTCTACGGTTTTGCTATCCTGAGCAACACAGCTATGATCTTACTCACATCTCTCCTGGTGCATGTCTATGAGAATTTGCTTCTCTAGGGCACATGTACTTCTCCAGGGACAACTATTATAGATATTCAGTGTTATAAAATAAAGCCAAATTATCTTCCAAAGTTTCTGTGTCTCTAGAATATTCTTACCAAAATCTTAAGAATGTTTAGAGTATCAGATCTTCAAACTGTCTCATCGCTCTATAATTTTTAGAACAGTATGTATGAAGAACATAATCAAATGGCATTTAGATTCCAATCTGTAGATGTTTACTGAACATATAACCTATGTCAGGGCCTGCGCTAGTTGCTTTTTTAAAACAATACCTCACATATCCTTTTGAAATAAAAGTATTTTATTAACATTACGTTTTATTATGTTAAAATGAATGAAATAAAACCTATAGGCCAGCAGGAATTCTGAATTCTCTACTTAATAATTATCTTAAAGAAAAAAATGAGTTTTAAAATCCCAGATACCTACACACACTTTCTCTGGTTAATCCCTAGGTGTAGGTAACTCACGACCCCAGTGTGCCCAGGCCTGAGGGGCTTCCAGGGTCATGGACCTTTCAGTGCTAAAACCAGAAAAGGTGCACACAAACTGAACACAGCTGATCACATCAGCCTTCTTGAGTGTCAGGACACCTGCATACTTACTTTGTTCTCAGGAAAAATCACTTTCCTCTTTAAGATTTTCCAAATGTCAATTTTTCACTATTTTTACTATTTGTTAATTCATGCAACTAATGCCCTTGGTTGAAATGAATATTAAAAGAAACAGTTAAGAAAAGATAACAATTAATTACAAAAAAAAAAACATTATTAGGAGACTTGTGGCCTGGTGAAAACAGCTGGCTGGATATAGCAATTTTTTATACATATAACTATTATATATATAACTATCAAAACACTCATCTCTATAGTTCTTGGTCACATAACATATGGTATTTTTCCTAATCTAATATCAAATATTTTATGAACTCCTAGGTTTCCTATATGACTACTCTGTGAAAAGCTCCACTTGAATTATTATTTTATACTACCTATTTTTTCATTTAATCATGTACATACTTCCTCTAAGTAGTCCTTTTATAATTCTCAAATCTTTTAGGTTTACTCTCCTAAATATCTGACTTAGCAATCATTAAAGAGATTAAAGGTAAAAATTAACAGAAAAAAAAAGAATAAACCCAGTGTTACCTTTTAAATGTATCAAAAACACCTGAATCATCAAAATTAATGGCATCGGGGTGTCCAGGAGGTAGACATACATCACCAATATGAATTTCACAACATGGAATGCCATGCTGTACCACAGTCAAGCTTGGGTAAAATGATGACCAACCTAAAATTAAATCAAACAGCAGTTACATAAAGGACAGAGATGGACAGAAGGGACCCTAATTATTTATTCTACGATATAACTATCACTTCCGAGCCTTAAAAATAAAAAGTTATTAGTTAAGTCCCAGATTTTTAACATATCCTTTATCTTTGCCAAAAAGCAAGTCCAAGTATTTTCTTCAAGCAATGCAAAAGCTCTCCAAAACTAGTTTAATTCAGCATTTTATTAATACACTGATTTCATCAATCAGCACTTCCAGCAATTTACAAGATAGTAAGTGATAGATGATGATGACTGAGACCATGAAATATATTGCCTCTGAATTATCATTTTTAACATGGTGTTGTTATAACAGATCTCAGAAAAGTGACTCAGATATATAGCATATCTGGTAATCCTAAACCAAAATGCAATTACTGGAACATTCCATTCCCCAAACTATACCAAGATAACAGAGAGCTGCTTATATAGTGTGCTATGCGAGTCTAAGAGTTCCTACCCATGGGAGGGACAGCCCAGCCTAACTCCTGCTAAAACGCATACACATCAGTAGGTATTATGATAAGGCACTTCCTGTGGTAGTTCTCTGAAGTTTGAAAGAAGTTCGCCCTTCAAGTTTTTTTTCTTAATCATCAAAGAATTGTGACACAAGACATAGTTATAGATTTAAGAAGCTTTCTTTAAAAAGTTACTATAAATTCAAATTGAAGCCCTACCTTTATTTTTAACATAGAAAGGGTGGTCCAGCTTACACTCTACAGTAAGTAAGCCATCTTCCACTGTACCGGGATCAAAAGTCAACTTCAGTACAGACTCGCCAAATGATACACTTTCTTCATGTGATAACAACTTTAGACCATCAGAACCATAGCCCTGAAAATACATGCATAGAGTGAACAAACAGGCAAATTTTAATTCAACACACAGTGAAGTTCCTATTACATGTAAGACTGTGGAAAAGGTCACAATAAACAAGACAGGATCCCTGCCTGTAGGGTCCTTGCTTTCCACCCAGTGATGAAGAAAGGCTCATCTATAAATCACTACCGTGTAAAGCAGACTGGAATTACCACTTTAAGTGAAGTGTAAACGATGCTAATGGACTTTAATGAAGGGAGGTATAAACTCCAAGAGAGACTAGGAAGAGCTTTCGGCTCCCATGGAACTGGGATTTAAAGGAACGAAACCCAGAAGGTAGAAGAATGTGCCTCAATGCCAGGAACAGCTGAAACTGGTGCCTGCTCTGGAGAGTGCTGAGTATTTGCTAGAAATACGGGCGAGTTCAGAGGTGAGGCAAAGAAGCCCAAGAAGGAGAGGCCAGTTAGTAAGGTGAAGAGTCTTAAGGACAGGGGAAGTGACCAAACCTTCCTTCGAGAGGGTACTGCAAGTCAATGAAAGTATTTTACTAACAACGGTCCACTTTAAAAAGATGATATAAAGGGGCGCCTGGGTGGCTCAGTGGGTTAAGCCTCTGCCTTCGGCTCAGGTCATGATCCCAGGGTCCTGGGATCGAGCCCCGCATCGGGCTCTCTGCTCGGCAGGGAGCCTGCTTCCCTCTCTCTCTCTCTGCCTGCCTCTCTGCCTACTTGTGATCTCTCTCTGTCAAATAAATAAATAAAATCTTAAAAAAAAAAAAAAAAAAAAAAAGAAGATGATATAAAGTCTGCAGAATAAAAGGTGCCTCTGGTATCCAATTTCTTTGAAGACATGAGGAAAGAAACCCATTAGTCTTATTCGACAAGGGCTGTAGTGGTAGAACCAGGCTAAATTTAAATTCAACCAATATGTGAGCAGTGGGCACATGCCAGGTGCTAGGTTCTGGAAACACATTAACTACACAGGATCCCTACCTTTAAATTCACAGAGAAACCAAGGAGACCGACAGGCCACCGGCAAGCTTTAGTGCACAACCGTTCCTCCACTAGCGGGAGGAAGAAGTGACAAAGGAGAGAAGGGTAACTGCAAAGCATCTTTAGGGAAACAGAACTGATCCGCTAACTATGGATGGAGGAGAGGAACAGTCAACTTCTTGGTTTTTAATCTACCAATCAAGAAGGTTAACAGTATGTTTAGAAGAAGGGAGGGAAAGGAGGCCAAGAAGGGGAAGAAAAAGGTGGGTCCAGTCTCAGTTATACTAACAAGTCAAGCATAAAGGACTGGTTGATAGCCACGTGCAGATGTCCAACATGCGGGGGAAGGCTACAGCCATATATTTGTTTAAAAAAAATTACAGAATCTTCTCATTCTTAGGGTTACGAGACACCCAAATGAATCCAGCCCCATTTTACAGATCAGGAAGCCAACACGCAGCAGGCTTGATAGTCCGCCCAACATCGATCACACACAGCTGCTGAAGAACCAGAACCAGAGCTCAGGTCTATGTCCAACAACAGAGCGCCTTCCACAGGCCCACCAAGGAGCTGCTGCTGACCATAGGGGCACATAGGAAATGGTGAAGAAGTGCCAAGGGGCAGAACCTTCTCTCACACTCAGCACCATGGGCAGAGAAGCCACCAGTCACAAAGACGGTGACAGTAGGGACCCGGATCCCTGCCACGCTACACAAATCAAGAGAAGACGACTCACTGAGTTGCAAAGATGCCAAACAAAGCAAGAAGTCTCACTAGAAATCAGAATGAAGCTAGGAACCTCTGAGACAATTTGAGCAGAATGGCAGAGGCCGAAGCCAGACCAGACAAACTTCATCACAAGTGAAGAGCAACAAGAGGGGAACCGAAAGGCAGCTGAGTCGGGACTATTTCTCTCTAGACTCAACAGTAAGTAACAGCAGGATCAAAACAGGAATTTTAAACAAGCACAGTTCACATGCCCAACTTCTCTGCCTACAGTGGAGATGGAGAGTTTCGAGATTTCAAAAATTAAGATTTTAAAGATACCAACTGACATTTCTCTGACTGCTGCCACCTATTGCTTTTGCTTATCAACTTAAAAAATGCCAGTATTTTATCAGATCATTTAGAAAGTAACTTAATATAATCAACTCTCAATTATCCATTTGGGAATTAACTCCTTTGTACATTACCTAAGAAAAAGCCTTGGTTCATTTGTTCATTTTATTTTAAATGCCAGTTTAGTTTCCCCCAACACAGAACAAACAAAAACAGCTAAGAAATACATCTTTTTCCCACCTAAGAAAGCATGATTACAAAGGTAAGCCTTAAGTCACTGCGGCACTCCATCTGGCTGAGCCGTAACACAGAGTCACAAAACCTCTTCCTAAAATGTAAGATGTCACTTGGGCACGAAAGTAAACAGAGAATGCTCCTATAGATTAGTAATGAGCCTAGGTTGCCTTCTGAAAGACTTGGAAAAGTTTTACAAATTTTAAATCCACCTTGTGAGTGCCCACTTGGAGATCCTCCTCATTATCACAGCCTTCGGTTCTAGCAAAATCTTCAACATCCTGCCATTCCTTATTGCTTCCCTTATGAAAGCACAGTCGTGTCCCTGAAGTTTAAGTAAAAAAAAGAAAAAAAAAAAAATTAGGTATGTGCCTAGCGTGCTACACAAGTCAGCTATAAAAATTCAAGCATTCTTTCACCTTTCAGAAAACAGTGCCAAGCAGTTGAAGGCCAGGAATTGCACCAGCCCAAATCATCATCATCGGAGAGGGAGGACATGCAGAAAATGCCAGATTCTGACTCACTATTTGCCTATGGAGAGAAACATCAGAAACTTTTTTATTTTGTAACATATTCTGTTAATATCTGTCTTTATCTCAAGGCTTCCAGCTCTCTCTCTCTCCCCTCCTGAATGGATAACTTAAACTGTAAACTTAGGGAAAAAAATGCCTTTGAAAACTAACTTTTTGGAAGTTTTGGTTCAACATACGTTCCCACTGGTAACAAACATAAAATGGAATCCCGATCGCTAGAACAGTGAGACAATTTCCCAGCTGTACGTGCTTCATAAGCACTTCTGAGAAAAGGAAAGTTAACATATTTCAACTGTTGTGCAAAGTCAAAGTTTATGCTCGTGAACACACTCACCCTTTCGTGTCTGACTGGTGTTTCCTCCTTCCAGTGATGATGAGGGAAGGCTGGCTCGCTCTTAGAAGAGGACACGGGTGGAGGGCGTGCATAGGAATGTAAACTTTTGCTAGTAGCTATGATGTGTACAGGAGATGATCTAAAATAAGGGAGCAGTTTTAACCATAAAGCAGAGGTCCTTACAGATCTTTGTTTTTGATGAAAAGAACTTCATATTCCTAATACCAACTTACACATATAAGACACTTATGGAAAACACTAGTAAAGACTTCAAGATTTCACTTGTAGAACACTATTCCTTAACTTCTTACCCAAGCCTTCTTCACACATGCTAAGTACCATTCTTTTTTCAAATTTAGCCATGTATTTTTAAATTCCAAATTATTTGTTCCTTTATTCAGACGTTTTTACATCAGTAAGTAGACACAAACATGCAGACCCTCACTCATGAAGGCTCATGTGCAGGGCTCCCTGTCCATTTCTCTCCTCTATTTTGACTCAGTCGATATGAACAGGGCATCTAAGCTGAACGGGACCAATGCGGAACCCTCCACCTACCAACCACCTGTCACCAGGCAGATGAAATAAACTACCTGAAGCTAAAACGTTTCAACTTATTATAGCAGAAAACAGCTTATTTGCAACTTCTTGTAACGGACACTATTTCTTGTTTTCTGATACAAACATATGGAAAAGCATCTACTCATAAGGCTAGCTATTCTCCCTCAGACCACCTTAGAAAAAGGCCAACCCTTCCCGGAAGGGGGAGCAGTAGGCAGCCTGCCCAGCCAGGGTGAGCGGCACCATGCACTCAGCTCAGGAGTTCGGAAAGCAACAGGGAGGAGACCAACCCACCTGAAGGGCCCATATCAGGACAGTTGTCAGAGGTGCCAAACAGGAAGGAATCTGGGCCATAACAGAGCAAAGTATGTGCATGTCTGTACTAACCCTCTTAGCTGGTTAAAGGGGGAGGGACATCTCACTTTCCAGGTCTTCCCTTACTCCTTGAGAAATTGTGTTAGCCCCACGATTTTTATTTTATCCTCACTAACACTTTTTCATTATGCCTTTGCAGAAGTTACTTTTTGATAAGGGTCTATAAAACTATGCTTTCATGTTCTGTCACTTCTTAAATAAAAACCCCTTAGGGGCGCCTGAGTGGCTCAGTCAGTTAAGCGCCTGCCTTCAACTCAGGGCATGATCCCTGGGTCCTGGGATGGAGTCCTACTTTGGACTCCCTGCTCAGCCTGCTTTTCCCTCTCCCTGTGCTCCCCCTGCTTGTGCTGTCAAATAAAATCTTAAAAGAAAAAAAAAAAAAAACTCTCCAGTTCTGGATTTCAAAATACAAATACTGTTTTTTAAGATTTTATTTATTTATTTGACAGAGAGAGAGAGCACAAGCAGGCAGACTGGCAGGCAGAGGGAGAGGGAGAAGCAGGCTCCCTGCTGAGCAGGGAACCCAACGCGGGGCTTGATCCCAGGACCCCAGGATCATGACCCGACCTGAAGGCAGCTGCTTAACTGAGTCACCCAAGTGCCCCAAACATTTAGACCTTTATGCTATTAGAGAATGGCCAGACTGCTAAATGTCCTTAAGTATATCCGTGCCTTCAGGACTAATAAAAGAAATTGGGGTTTATTAGTTCTTCTGTTGAACCATTTAAGGAGAAGTAACAATGCAATGTTCTAAAATGTGTATGGCCTAAACATTCTGTAAAAATTAACATGCCATACGTGTCTGAAACACCCAACACCGCTGGTCTCTCCATCCCTCTACCTATGCAGGGGTAATGTAAATGATAACTGTCCTTAACCCCTTGGCAGAATTCAGACACACTAGAAGAAGCTACATGAACAGCCGCTGACAGTGTGAGGAGGCAGGCCAGACAGCAGAGCGTTGACTCTTGGTCTTGTTCCCCAGGAGGAAGGGAAGCACAGAAGATGCTGCAGAGAATAAGTTTCTATCTTTGGGGAACTACTCCTTTATGTTTTTATTTATATTGATTATCTTCTGAGGGGTTTACTCAACTTTCCGTGAGCTACATTGTTAATTCCCTTAAGTTTGCTGTTACAAAATAAATAAAGTGTTATCACTAAACTAGGAAAAAAAAAGTCCAATAGGAAAGTCAGGGTTTGTTTGTTTTTCATTATAAACAAATTTTTAGCTTTTTTTTTTTTTAAAGATTTTATTTATTTATTTGACAGACAGAGATCACAAGTAGGCAGAGAGGCAGGCAGAGAGAGAGGGGGGGGGAAGCAGGCTCCCTGCTGAGCAGAGAGCCCGATGCGGGGCTCAATCCCAGGACCCTGGGATCATGACCTGAGCCGAAGGCAGAGGCTTTAACCCACTGAGCCACCCACGCGCCCCAATTTTTAGCTTTTTGACTATTTTTTCTTTCTCGGAAATTTCCCATGGAATTAAACTGAGAAATTTAGTTAACTAAATTGAATTTGTCCTAATGGAGACCAACATCCCACTGAACAGAGGAAAAACAAAATAATTTAATGGGTTGCAAGAAAACCAAGGTTTCACACATGAAAAGTTTATTTTTTAGCAAAGAATTACATTAAGTTAGAAGCACTACCAAAATTCAGTTATTCCTACATCACCTCATATGGACTATATAGTCTGTCTACCCACACGAGTACAAATCCGCTTCTCTCTCCTACAAACTATCATATTTATCTAGGTATTTTCACATAGATAATTTTCTTTCTTTTTCTTTTTTTTTTTTTTTTAAGATTTTATTTATTTATTTGATAGAGAGTGAGAGAGAGATTAACAGGGGAGAAGCAGACTCCTCATGGAGATGGGAGCCCAATGAGGGACTTGATCCCGGGATTTCGGGATCGTGACCTGCGCCGAAGGCAGTCGCTTAACCAACTGAGCCACCCAGGTGCCCCGTCACATAGATAATTTTCTAATTTTAGGGATAATTAATGAAACATTACCCACTGAGGTCTCTCTAGGAATTTTAGTTCAAAGCTTCCACAATTTCATAGCACGAACAACTCATTTGCAGAAAGTTTAGTCTGGGTATATGAAATAGTGGTGTTCACCAATGGCAGTCCACTTTTATGATGTTCTAGATTTAACATTAGCAATTATAGTTTTCACGAACAGGTAAGGTAACGTAAGGTTACATACACTGTGAAAGAAATAAACCTAGACCAAAAGGAACCAAACTCAAGGTTGCTAAGATTTTAAAATAAAACATTTATTACAACTATGGTTTTTTAGACATAGTATAATTTTCATTTCTATAAGCCTAAGTATCTAATAAAAGTATTTCTTGGTCTGGTTTATTTTTTGATGACTTTAATATACTTACAAATATTTTTGACTCTGCGGTTCTCATCCCTTTTATCTACTTCTCAAAGTATGAAATCATGATACCAGGTGAAAAAGCTCTGTAATCACTACAGAACAAAGAACCTAATTCGAATGACTTATAAATTCTAAATTCAGTAAACCACGCATTAGATGGTTAATAGTATTATTACTTTTAAAACTAGAAAAAAAATAGTTCTCTGTAGTGACAGACATTTTCAGTAACAATATAGTCAGTGTTCCCACCTGTTGTAGAACGAGCACTGCATAAGTGGGCTCTGCGGGCTGGTGGCGATATTTGCTAATTCAGTCAGCCAATCCACCTCATTTTCACCATAAGTATTTTCTGTTATGTCTGAGGTATTTTGGTTCCAAGATGGTCTTGGATATTCTTGATGTGAAACATCTGAACTTAGCTGGTATATGGCAGATTGGGTAGGATCACTCTGAACAGCCTGAAGTTCAGGGAGGTCATCTGCAAGGAAACACACTCAAAATTATAAAAAGGAAATTGCTAATACAGGGAATAATGTTAAAAATTACAGCTGGAAGAGAAGTCCTTAAATGTAGTTAATTAATTCTGTGGGAAGTATAAATTTGAAATGTTTTCTTGGATGAGGAAGTTTTGGTCTAAAAAATGACACCTTCTACATTCAAGGGTCAACAGAGCCTGACAGAAAACAGACCTCTTCCCAGACCAGAAAAAGTTTGTGTCTTCTTTTTTTTTTATAGCTCACCTGGCATTAGCCCATAGGCCACCAAAGATGTTTTTAGGTTAACATGTTAATGAGGAAAAAGGCATTTTATGTACACACATGGGTTTACTCCTGTTCTTTATTACCCTGTTATGGAAGATTACTGCAATAATGAGAACAATTTTTAAAGATGAGATCAATAGTTCATATTATAAGTTTTAGGTACTACTTATTCAACTTAATCTATGCTGAATTCTTTCTTTTGACTGAAAAATTCTAAACTCAGTAATAACTATTGGTTATGTTTTCTTAAGGGTGTGTTCCCAAGGCTCATGTACACACCACGGCTATGAACGCCAGCGAAGACTGAATTCTAAAAAACCAGTATTAAAAAAAAAGAAAAAGGAGAGAAGAAAAAGCATCTTACAGGCCTTAAAAAAAACTTCATGAAACACACCTACAACAAACTGCAGATCCACTGGGTCCCTTCAATATATAAACAGAAAATTCTTCTAGCCTTAGGAGTCCTGGTCAGCTGTTACTATAAAGTACAGACACAGAATTCTTACTCAAGGCAGACATCTCAGAACAGCCTATTGAAGCCGAAATGTCTTACCTTTTTTTTTTTTAATATTTATTTATTTATTTGACAGAGATCACAAGGAGGCAGAGAGGCAGGCAGAGAGAGAGGAGGAAGCAGGCTCCCCGCTGAGCAGAGAGCCCAATGCGGGGCTTGATCCCAGGACTCCGGGATCATGACCTGAGCTGAAGGCAGAGGCTTTAACCCACTGAGCCACCCAGGTGCCCCCGAAATGTCTTACTTATTAAGTATTAATTCAGGATATCCACTCAGAAAACGGAGTAGAAGCCATCCCCATTTCACTGAGCAGCTGAAAAACATCACATTATGCAAACTCCGCCCTGTAACTCTCACACTGGCCTAGCTATCCCCCTTTCACCACCGCTGACGCCCTTCTTGGACCAGCACTTCTTTAGTTACTGCATAGAAAGAGTTCATTTGTCTTTCAAGCTCAGAAAATTAACTGCTTTTAAACCCAAGCAATGAGGAGGGGTGCGAGTTTTTGCCACCCACTGGCCCTAACTTCCTGATTTCCTCCTGAAACTGGTGGGTTGGTGGAGAAGCAACTACCCGAACAAATGGGCGCTCCGTGCTTAATGGCACCCACCACTTGGTGACTCACAGGGCCCAGCAACCCATGGGCATTCAAGCAGGAAATGTCCCAAGACCTGCAGTATCTCCAAATTCCCAAAGAGCGCAGCAGCACGTAGTCTCCTCTGTCCTATCCCTGGTAAAGGGAAGATGATCACGGCCTCTCGGGGGTTTGCGAACATTTCAGCAAGCCGGGCATTAAATGCAGACAGAGCCAAGCTGAAAAGCAGGGCCACAAGCCCTGGCTGCTGACTCTTCAATACCAACCTCCTAGCAGTGCAATTCCAAGCCCTACCTGCACAAACCTACACACTTCTACCGGCTACACATCCCGAGGGCAGCTTGGCGGCACTGATGACCATAAATGACAGATCCTCCAGTTTCAAGGGTCCACTATAACCTGCCCATCGCAGCCACAAACCAGCCGAGCACAATGTACTGAGCTCACCAACAGGTTTCAAAAATCACAGGAGCCACACGCAGGAGGTGTTTCCGGAGGTGTTTAATGGCCCGAACTTTACCCTTTACCCAGGACAGTGACTGACTTTGATAGATGATGACCATAAATAGCCCAAAGTTATGTTGGTTTTAAGTAATATTTTACAAGCAGTAACAGTAGAATGCTGAAAACTCCTAAGGTACAAAAACTTCACATACTTTGAAGCGGTTTAAGGTAGGTGGAGAAGTGGACCAAACAGAATATGAATCTCAGACTCCTAAAAAACTTTTAATTTTGTTTACCAAGCTCCATGTGTTCATCACAGGAGTTGTATCCAGGTGAGGAGGGCAAGTTTTCATTACACTGCAGCAACTCCAATGAGTCGTTCATGCCTGAAGCGCGCTTGTCCATCACCAGCAGGAGTTTCTGTACTGCATTAGGCATCTGATTTGTCTTCACTTCCCACACCATGTTATGGTGCTCCGACTTCAAACAAAAATAATAAAGGAAAAACGTCAAGTCGTGTGATCTGGAGATTACAGAGGTATCAAATCCGTCAGAGACTCATAATGTTACATCTTTAACGTAATCATGTATTGCCATCTGTATCCCCCTCAAATCCCTAAAGGATTTCTAAAAGCAGGCAGACTCCCTGACCATGTAGTCAGCACTAAATTATACCCAAATCCAAAAGGATTCATATCTTAAATTTATTAATACTCTTTTCTTTAAGGTGCCTCATTAGCACAGTAGGTAGTGTGTCAGTCTCATAGTATTTTCTTTAATAGAATAATAGCACTATTCTATATACTTTTATTTCTTTAAGAAACTCTGAGACCCAAATAGAGAGACCAAGAAAACCATTTTCTCAACTTGTATCTTCAAATTTAAAAGAAAATTAACAAACTAAAAAAAAGGAAAAGAAAATTAACAAACTTTCCTCAGTTAAATTTTTAAAAAAAGGGAAGAAATGTTCTATTTTTTTCACTTTTGAAGATTCTATTTCAATTTCTCTATTTACCCACTATGTTATTTTGTTCTCTTATCTGAAAGTAAAGTTTAACATACTTAAAATAACATTAAGAGTTTCTTAAAATGGCCATATAGTACACTTCTCAAAAATGCCATGGTTTCTTTTTTTTTTTTTTATTTTATTTTGGCCACGTTTTCTTTATGAAAGTTTGGTACCTAGCCATCATAAAAAGGTACCTGTCCTTATTATTTCTAAAATGAGTAATAATCATAGGAAATTTAAACAAATAGTAAATCTATCCTCATCTTAAGCCTATGAAACTATCACAAGGAAGAAAATAACATAGATTTATATACCTACATAATTTCTAGTAAAGTCTACCAACTAAATTTTGTTGTAAAAGTAAAATTGTGTTTATACCATTTACACTCTGCCTTTGGACAATGATCAAATTGGTTATTTAACTGGGCTGACAGCAGCAGGAATATTTCCTGATTTCTCAGGCTTTACTCCAAAGCTCATTTAAAAGAAAAAAAATACTAATACACACAAGAAAACTAACATGACATAGTTTTACCCCAAAATAAAACAATAAAATATACTGCAATTTAAAGTCACTAGAAATCTAGTACTCTAGCCTCTGGTGATCAAAAATGCAGTGAAAAGATGTTAACTGCTCAGTATTTATACCAGAACTTTCTAAGCCATGACACAATCACCAACAAGCACTGGCAACACTGACAAATTTTTTTCTCCAAAGGCTTTTTCATGATCTTTTTATTATGAAATATGTTTTCCTAACTGTAAAATACATAATCACTGTGGGGGAAAAAATGGAAAAAAAGAAATTTTTTAATAAAGAAAAAATTACTTTTTAAAAAGAGATTTACTTATTTATTTTAGAGAGACAGAGAAAGAAGGCTTCTATGGGTGGGGAGAGGGGAAGGAGCAGAGGGAAAGAATCTCAAGCGGATTCCCTGCTGAGTGCGAAGCCCTATAGGGAGCTGATGTCAGGATCCTGAGATCACGACCTGAACCAAAATCAAATGTCAGAGGCTTAACCGACTGAGCCACCCAGATGCCCCAGGAATACTGACTTCTAATCCCACCAACCAGATTTAGATACTGTTAACATTTTGGTATATTGTTTTACAATCCAATCTCTTTTTCATGCAGACACCTACAATCATGTATTTTCCTCCATACTTTGCATTATACATAATTGATACCTTTTTCCTTAGCTTAAGTTCATAAGCATTTTCCTATGTCACTAATTTTTCTTACAGATTGATTTTACATAGTTCCATAATATACCAAAATTTCCTTATCTCTCCTACTGCTGAACACACTATTCCCAGATTTTTCACTCTTCTAATAACTTTGAATTTTCAAAAACATACCTGCTTATATCAGATTATTTCAGATTTCTGGAGACACATTAGTAGGTGAATGGCAATTAAACATCTTATGGTTCCCACTGCATGCAACTAAACTGCCTGCTGCCTTACTTATTTCTAACATTCTACTTCTGGTTCTCTCTGCCTACACCCCTCAAAAATGACCCACATCCTAGCCACTGTTTTAAGAGTCTTACTCAATACTGACAAAGATGTTCTATGGAGTAGTGAAAAGGGCACTGGGTCAGATGTAAGGAGTCATGAGTTTTGATTCTAGCTTGACCACTTACTAAATAATCTGATCTAAGCGACTGAGCTTCTCACTGACTCAGTTATCTTCATCTGTCAAACAGTTGCTCTACTTTCCTCCTAGAGGGGATGTGAGGATGAACTGAGACACAGTGAGTCAAAGAAATGTAAACTCTTCTTTACAAAATGTTTTATCCCTAGACTGACGCAAGGCAACCTTCCACGTACTCTGGGTACTTAATATCCTAAATAGAACAGTTACTGAAAATGTTAATGACAGGAGACCAGAGAGCTCGTTTATTCGGCTTCAACAATTTCCTCCCTCAGAAATATGACAAGTTATCCAACACATCTCAATAAAAGTCACCAGTCATGCCATTACTTCAGGCAAGTAACAGTTCATCTAGAAGATGTCCAAGGCATTTGCAAGAAATGGAACTTTTCCAGTTCAGTACAATTTATTATCTACTAATTAATCACAGTCTTACCATATGGTTAAGAGCAAATCTGCTGGCGTATAACAAGTAATCTCCTACAAAACTGGTAGCAACAGAAGATGTGCTAACACAAACTGATTTCTCAAGCAGAACTGGCCGAATCATTATTCTGAACCTCCACTTCACAATGCAAAAATCAAGCAAACTTTAGCAAGATCAGTGATTCTCAAGCACGGGATTACGTGTGGTTCGAACAAAATGATGCCTAGGCCCCACCTCCAGAGAATATGATTTCTTTGGTCTGGGGTATGACCCTGTGAGCTGGTTTCTATTTATTTCATTTCCAAAGAATACCAAGTGCACTGTGAGAACAAGTGAGCTAAAAATGATTACTAAATTCCTTTTTATTTAAATATACATATTCATTTATTTAATACACATTATATACAAGACACTAAACTAGCTGCAATGTTGGGCCTCAATGATGAACAATTTGTCTTCAATCTCAAGGAATCTATACTTTAGTGGAAACATATAAGCAAATTACCACGGTTCTACAGAGCAGGGCTTGGCCACAAATGGGTAAAAAGGAAGGAAGAAAAGCCTTCCAACGAGAGAAACTCATATGAGCAAACTTGAAGAGTCTGCAAAATATTGGATAAAATAAAAACAACATAGAATCCAGTATCACCAGAAGGGAGGCTGGCCTTGTGTGTCTTGTGGTCATGGATATGAAGGCTGGAAAGGTAGACTGCGCCAGCATCTTCAATCCTAGTTTACGAAAACTGGTTTCTTTGTTTTTGGTACACAAGAGTAAGGGCTCTGAAATTAGGCTGAGTTTATAATCAGATTTACGACTTATTAGCTAGGTGTCCTGGACAATCTACTCAAAATCTTTTTGCCTTGTTTGTAAAATGGAAATAAAAAAACACCTACGTAGTTTGTTGTAAAGACTCAGTGAGCTAACAAATGTAAAAAGCTTACAGTAGTACCTAACACAGAGCAAACCCTCAACGCCGAGTGGCTACTGTTTTTATTAGCAATTACCAGACAAAGGGGAATCACTGAAGATTTTTGAACAGAGGTCTGACGTGATCGGAACTATAAACATTTTCTTTGAGCCTATAAAACAAATCATACTGAAACATGGTATCAGTATGCAGAAACATCTACAACTCATATTTAAGGGAAAATACATTAAAAAACAGTGTATTCTCATTCCCAATTCGACAGCCACCTGCTCCCAGCTTCCTTTGCAAGAGTTCTTATAAAAGAAAATTGGTAGTATCAATGCAGATTCCTTATTGAGCAATGCCTAAGACATGAGAGGAACTAGTCACTCTGAGTTCTTTGAACAGCAAGTGTTCCCAGTTTAGGCAGCAGGTTTGAAGTCTTTTCATGGAAAATATTCCAACATCTTAAGTGTACACAACACAATTTAACCTATCTTAGTGACTCAAACTCCTTACGAACATCTGTTGTACTATGCTTCACGAGATATGATCTGCAAAAGCCAGCCAGTGACAATCTTAAACTTGACCATTTTCTCATCTTCTCTTGCTTATGAAGTTCAGAGGTCACACTGTACCTATGTATCTCCTCAGCGCCACCCTTCAGTGTACAAAACAAAGGCGCTCCGGAATCCACGGAAGCAGAGTTGCAACTCTTCTTATCCTCCCCTTCCCTCTGCAGAACTTTTTGGCTTTCTCCGTTTTCCAACTAGATTTTCTCTTCCCCTCTCAGTGGGTCTTGCACTGTCCCCGCTCACCATTTACAGTACACTAACATCTCCGCAACTTCTGTCGGTTCTTCAGCCCCTTGTTCTTGTGATCTACCAACATCCCCTCACAATATTCTTATAGGAAGCTGGGGAAAAAACATTTCAGTTTCAAAACAGAGCTACTGCCTACTAACAAAATACTCACCAAGTATTTGTTGAATTTGAACTCTATGTGTGTGCTCCTCTCACTGCTCAAGGCTATCAAACCGTGGTCTTGAGATAATGCAGGAAGTGCTTCAGCAAGCCTACTGCACAGTAAATGGGAGCCCAGTCCTAAGTCAAAAGACTGGAGGTTCCCTCCCGCTCACCATGGAATGTGAGGCAGGCCACTTAACCTCTGCCTCACAGCACCTGCACTTATCTCAATGGGCTATTGGAAGAATTCAGTAAAATAAATGAAAACAAAATTCAAATCCCTAAATGAATGTAAATTTTTTTGTCTCAGACTTTTCTCTGTCAAACTATTTGAGGGAAGCAAGACCTCTGATACAGTAATAAAAAAATACCAAAAGGGTCCGTTCTCAAAAATTCTCCCCCGCATACATTACGCCAATTAGACATTCATTTTGATAAACAAGCTTCTCTTTCAAATATCTCCTGGTAGAGCTAACCCTATTGTTCATTCATACTTTTGCATACGGCTTTGGTATTACAGGATTTGACATAGCTTGCCTTGTACTGCGGCTAACTCTGCAACTACACCAGGGATTCTCAAAAGGGAAGAGTAAAATTCTCCAGCAAGCTGTGCTTTGAAATGGCATGTCCAGCATTACAAATTTTTATTGGGTGGACTTGGGAAGTTTCTATTGCTTTTGTTTGCAAACTGTTGTAAATATCCAACAAATCTTACAGAGGTGGAGAGAACCAGAAATAGCTAAATCTCCATGAATGGACAAGTAGGAAATTGGGTTTTACTAACTGCCTACCTCCTGTGTACAGAGCATTTGATTTCCTTTAATTCCATAAAAACCTCAGAACAGCTCTGTGAGCAGTTATGGATGAGGAAAACAGCACTCTGACAACTGAATGTGACCATTTTCTTCTTGAAAAGAGCCAAAAGGCATAGACAAGAGAGGAGAGACTCCCACTTACAAGTGCCCATTGGTCCCTAAATCCTTAGCTTTCCATCCTCAAGGATATCATGGAAAGGATTTAAGTCCTCCCCTAATCCCAAAGGACTTTTTTACCAAGCTCAAATTTTGGGGGGATGGAGGGGAGGTGACAGAAGGTTATGCTCAATTAATTTAGATCTCTGACATGAGAAATTGAGATATTTAGATTACAGTGGTCGCCCCTTATCCAAGGTTTCCCTCTCAGTGGATTCAGTTACCCAAGGTCAACCCAGTCTGGAAACAGTTAATTCTCCTGCTGACCTAAAGTCAGAAGGTCAACAGCAGCCAAACTAAGTCACAATGCCTAGGTCATTCACCTCACTTCATCTCACCACATAGGCACTTTATCAGCTGACGTAATCACAAGGGTAAGTACAGGACAATAAGGTATTCTGAGAAACACCACATTCACACAACTTTTATTACAGGATATTGTTCTATTTTATTACTAATTATTAATATCTAATTTCTAAACTTTATCATAAGGAAAACACAGCATACAAAGGGTTCGATACTATGCCTGGTTTCAGGCATCCACAGGATTGGGAACAGATCCTCCACATGTAAGGAGGGATAAATTAGTGTAGCTTCATCAAGGGAACTGAACAGAGGACCCTAACACCCTTGTTAGCAAGCTAAAACAAAAGACAAAAGCGGGGGGGGGGGAGCAAAGACCGAAATGCTAGGAATACATTACAATGTAGATCATTATCAATAGTTAAACAAATATTCACAGATGTCAAAATTATTTCAATTTTTAAAAGGTAATAACTAATTCAAAACTAAGGTTGGGAGTCATCTGTTACCGCTGGTTAGAGGGAAATAAATCTACAGCACTTCGTCGGGAATTGTTGGGAGGGCTCCCAACACTTCCTAGTATACACAGCTCCCTATTACCCTCCTCCCGTCTTAGAGCGGCAGCCTGAGCTGAAGACTGGATGGAGTACAGCCTTGTTGTCAGTACTCCTTTTAAAAACGATTCTTGAAGACTGCTGAAGAACGAACTCTAGGTAGTGAAGCACGCGCGGCCGCGAGTGAAATCCCCCAGACGCTGTGCAGCGCTTAAGGAAGGTACAAAAACCGGGGCCCCCACGGTCGACTTCGCCTGGATTCTTTTTTGTTTTAATCTGCCTGCGGCAGCAGCATAGGTTGGAAGGCGGAGACTGGAAACGCCTGCCAAGCTAGGGCTCTCGGTCACAGAGGCTGCGCCTCCCGGTTCAAGCCAAGTCCATCCCCCACCCTCTTTCGCCATTCATCGCCTTCCCCTCCCCTCCCCCCATCATGTGACCGCAGCCTGGACTCCAGGCTTGTTTTTCCCCTCCGCTCAGCAGCACCGCGCAGGCGCCTCGAAGCCCATTCATTCGAAATGCGTAACAATGAGCCCCGGGGCCCAGCAGCTCCGCGAGCTTCCCAGCTCGGCCCGAGCCCCTCTCGGCCCCCAGAGGAGGCGGCGCCTCGCTGGGGTCCCCCAACCCCGGCCGACAGCCCACCCGAGGCCAACCTCCGACCGTCCGCCCACACACGCGAAGTTGAAGTCAAACTTTCCTGGGCAGCCCCGGCGCCGCGTCGGCCCCTTCCCCCCGCTCAGGCCCGCCCCATCTCCGCACCCGGCCCGGCCACCCACCGCGCAACCCGGCCCGGAGGGCCAACCTCGCCGACTCCTCCCAGCCCCCGGCCCCGAGACCCCCTCGGGCCCGGCCGCCGCGAAGCCTAGGTGAACTCGCGGGAGGCGCCGGTCCGGCGGGTTCGCCACCGGCAGTTATAGAACGGCTAACTGCTCCCACTGTGAGGGCAGCCTTTGGCGGAAGAGGAGCGCGGACCCAGGCTCGCCCGGCCGCCCGGTCCCCTCGGGATCCTGCCCCTCCCTTCCCCACCCCCACCCCTTCCCGAACTGAAAGACAACAAACCCGCCGCGGAGTGCGGGCAGCCGCGACGCGGGCCGCCCTGGACGCGACAACACCACCAGCGACTCGTGTACCCTCTCTCCGACTGAGGCCGGTGTCTCCGGCGCGCCTTACTGCTCCCGCCGCTGCTCTTACTCCTCAACCGAAACTTTCCTACTTACCAAACCCGTCGCCATTACCAAGTCTTTCAAGCTTCGTCTTCCCCCTCCCCTCAACCCCCCGGGGGTTGAGCCTCCTCCCAGCTCTTTAGCCTTCTTACTGGTCTATGGAAATGTCATTCGATCTTTCCCCTTTCCCATTGGGTGAGCGCGTCGTCCGTCTCGGGAGGCGGGCTTGTATTGACTTTTGTGTTGTGTTTACTGGAGAAGACGGTCTGTCAATCACAAGAGTGAGCGCTTCGGATTGGATTGCTGCCGAGACTCCGGGGACCTAAGCCAAACTTTGCCCCCGAAATGGCTTGTGGGTTCGTAGTCTCAGCCTTGCTCTGTTCTGGGAAACTGTAGGCAAGAGAAACCGGTTGGACTACATATCCCAGAGGTGCGTGCAGAGCGCTGTCTTGATAGTAAACAAGAGTCATAGGGACACGTGTATCAGCTCGTTTGTTTTGGTGTCTGGGACAAAAGGGAGGGGGCGGAGGAAGGGAGTGTTTTAAAGCTTTGGCCTCTTCTCTTCCTCTGGGCCTCTCTCAGCGCTCGGAGAGCCCCAGTCTCTCGCAGCACCCATTTCGGGCCATAAACAGCCAGAGTCGCTTGCTGTTCGAAGTTTGGCAGGAGGCCAAGGTATTGTTTTAGTGCGAGGGGAAGGAGATGACTGCAGAAGCGGAAGCTGTGCAGCCTCGCGAGGGACCCAGTCACCCACAAATCACAGCCCCGGGCATTATGGGGTAATAAAGGTGGTGTGGCGCTCCAGTGGGAAGAACTAGAATTCCTTTATCCTCAATCTTGCCTGGCCACTCCCCGGACAGCAACTTCAGAGGGTTTCTTCGATCAGTTCACGCAGGGTGTGTTAAATGCCAGCGACGTGCCAGTCACTGGGAGGCTCGGGGATGAACGCAGAAAAGTTCGGGGTCTGGTGAATTTTCAAAGCTGGAAGGGGGTGGACGATTACTATTGACTTACAGAGACTGAGGCAGATCAAAGCGGTATTTTCCATATTGACCAGCTTGCTTATTGGTTAAAGTAAATAGCAGTACAGTGTGTGACTTAAACTGAATTAGTGAATCATTATCTAAGGGTCTCTGGTGAGTTTTTGTTAACCAGTGTCCCCCCCCCCCCCCCCCCCCCCCCCCCCCCCCGCCAAGACGACTTCCCATTGATGAGCGTGTCTTTGCACTTCGTTGCCACTAGGAGCTCCTCCTTAAGTTACTAATAACTGACTCACCAGAGGAGGGTGGCTTCTTTGGTTTTATAGTTACCTTCACTTTAAACATGGCTGTCCATCACAATCCACCGAGTCTATAATTCATGTTTTTACCATTCACATTACAAAGGCATTATTAAGCTTTTTTTCCTTTGAACCTTTAACGTTTAATCATTAAGCTATGCTTCAAGTTTTATATCTTTAGATGACTATTTGTATGCTTAAAATTAAGAGGAAAACCCTACGTTATTTAGAAATCAATAGTCAAACTACCGAAAAGAGGCGGAAACCATAGCTGATTATTCCTTTAATGACCCCCACCTATACATTTATTTAATTTTTAAATCTCCCTGAAAGCAACATAACATATCAAATTCCAAGTAACTCTCGCGGGTTAAAACAAGTTTTCAAAAACAAACAAACAAAAACAAGTTTTCCAATTCTTTTAGGGATTTCCTGTTTGAAGACTTGAAATTCTGTTAAAATCATTCTCTGTGCCACAGAATCAAAGATTTACTTCTTGTATTCACAAATAGTATTATTTTTTCCTAAAAATAATTGAGAGCCAACAAAATGCCTAAATTTTTCACTGAGGGTAAAGGACAGGATTTGAATGTATTATCTTTCAGAGATTTATAGAGGGTTCCAAAAAAGAATGTGGACTGTGACCCTGTTATTTTGTTTTTTTTGTCTTCCTATTTTCCCCCTTTACCGTGGAGGATTGCTGTGCTGCCTCTCCAGTGTGTCATTTTTTGAAAAAAAGAAAAAATTGTGGAATTTACCTAGTCACTTAAATTAAAATTTGAAATATTTATGTTTTAAACCCACCAGGAAACTGAAAAGCTTCCCCTCCCCCCAAAAAATGAGTCTCCCTGTGGCGCCTGGGTGACTCAGTTGTTAGACATCTGCCTTCGGTTCCCGTCATGGTCCAGGAGGTCATGGGATTGAGCCCCGCATTGGGCTCCCTGCTCAACAGGAGGCCTGCTTCTCCTTCTCCCACTCCCCCTGCTTGTCCCTCTCTGCTGTCTCTGTGTCAAATAAATAAATAAATCTTAAAAAAAAAAAAAAAAAAACCCCTCAAGAACTTGAGCCACTCCTTTCCCCTATTCATTGGGTAAACCAGGAGGCCTGCCTTTAGCTGAAGCTT